CAGGTGGATCTCTGTGAGTTCAAGGCCAGCCTAGTCTACATAGTGAGTTCTGTGTAACCAGCTAGGGCTACACAGTAAGACCCTGTCTCTAAACAAAAACAAACTAACAAAAAAATGGGCAGCTCAGGGCCTTATTAATGCTTTGAGACAGGGTCTCCCTGTAGTCCCAGCTGGCCTGGATTCACTATGGAGATCAGACTGGCCTAACTCACAGATTCGCCTGCCTCCTGAGTGCTGGGATTAAAGGCGTGTGCCACCACACCCAGTGTATTTTTCTTTTTTAATCGTAATCTATGTTATGGACTCAGTAAATATTGGCCAAATAAATAAATATAACTAAACTTAATGCAACATAGTCAAAACCTATCACACTGTTACAAGCTCTACTTATGTGATTTATCTCAGATTTTACCCTACTCCTAAGGAGGCTTAGTATTTGAATTGTCAAAGTTATACACATGTACACCCTTAAATGTAGTCTTTTGGCCTTATGTCATAAGAACAGTATTATAAAAGGTTGTTTTGTATAGTGATTTTAATGAAAATGTCTTTAAAATTAAATCCTCATTGTTTATCCTGTTAAAGCTCTATTCAGCATAACAGAATTCAGAAGAAATTGAGGTTAACCCTAAGATAATGATATATTTGCAAGCCCAAAGGGGCTATTTTGGGGCTAGGAATATCACTCATTGTAATCAATGGCCTGGGTTGGGTTTGATCCTTAGTACTACAAAAACAAACAAACAAACAAAAACCAAAACCAACAACAAAACAAACAAAAAAAAGCCCCAAACCAGAAACAAAAACCGAGAGAGAGAGACACACACTATTTTTCACATTAAGTAATAATGAGATTATTAAAATAAGAAATCAAATAAGGAAATAGAAATAAAGTAGCTCTATGGGAAATTTTAGTTTTAAAGGGCAGGTTAAACTGGCTAGAAATGATTCAAGAATACCTAGAAACAGAATTTTAAAATTTTCATTGTATGTGCATGTGTGAGCACCTGCATGTATGTATGTGCACCACATGGATGCAGGTTCCCACAGAGGCCAGAAGAGGGTGTCAGATCCCCTGGAACTGGAGTTACATCCCAGTTTTGCACCTTTGAAGTCAAGGATTTTGTGAAGAGAGAATGGTGCAGATTCAGCTTTGCAACTGTAAAGAATTTTGGAGACTAGTTGTACAACAATGTGAATGAATGTACTGAACATTACTGAACTGTGTACCTAACAATGATTAAGATGGGGACTGGATGGCAAGCTAGCGTCACACCTCCTTCCCATGCTCATCAAGGAGTCGAGGGGGGAGTCACTTACTCTCCTACCCAATCAGTGGACCTTAGCTGCCTGTGGGGGAGGGGCTAAGGATCTATAAGCCGAGAACACCAGGAGGCACCTCTCTCACCATTTTGTGCAGTTGTCGGTAAGTCACGGGATCTATATTTGAGTGTGGACTTTCCAGTGCAGCCATAAAATGGGGGCACCCACTCCTCTGTAAATAAACCCCCACCCTATGCGCTGTTAAAAAAGAAAATGAAAAAATAAAAAGATGGGGGCTGGAGAGATGGCTTAGCAGTTAAGAGCACTAGCTGTGCCAGGTGTGGTAGTGCATGTCTTTAATTCTAGCACTTGGGAGGCAGAGGCAGGTGGATTTCTGTGAGTCTGAGGCCAGCCTGGTCTCCATAGCGAAGTCCAGGCTATCCAGAGCTACATAGTGAGACCCTGTCTTAAAAAACTGAAAAACATTCCTGGCACTCATAACCTGGCTCATAACCTCCTGTAACTCCAGCTGCAGGGGATCTGACACCCTCTTCTGGCCTCTGCAGTCACCTGCACACACATGGCATACAATCACATAGACACATACTCATAAATAAAATAAAAATCTTTTAAAAATGGTTAACATGGTCAATTTTATTTTATGCATATTTTACCACATTTTAAAAGTCAAACTATTCTTATGGGCATTAATAGAAAAACATTACCTCGTTTATCTATAGTGTATGTCTGAAATGCCATGCTGAGATCAGCATCCTTAAGCATTGCCAACAAGGTCTCCGGGGGCTCTCTGAGCCACTGCTTACGGGCATTATTTTCACTGTACTTTACTACAGAATCACCTAGTTGTGAAAAGATGGACATTAGTGCTAAGTTAAAAAAAAATTCTTCAATTTTTCAGATCATATTTCAAGAAAAGGTAATATATTTGACTTTAAAAAATCTAGTTTACTTACTCATAGTAGTGCAAATAGCCTTCACAGGGTGATACAAAACACCAGCACAGTGGATACGATTAGAAAGTGTTCCATAGTAAAATAACAGCATTCAATCTGACTATGGTCAGCTCTATGTATCTATGGACTCTGTATCCTTGGATCAATTATATTTTGTAAATGTTACATCTTGGAGTGTAGGAAACCAGAATGGCATGCTTTAGGGTAAGATGGATCTGAAACTTTAAGATTAGGCTATAATCTCTGCTGAAGGGAGGGGTGCTGAACAGAGTGCCCTCAAATCCCTGTCTTGCAGAAATCTGCTGGGACTAGCAGGGGAAAAGTGGCCGGGTCAAAAGTTTAAGCTCCTTCCTCTGAGGGAAAGCATCTTGGTCAACAGGCCTTAGTCTACCTCCTGGTTCTGAACAAATAACTCTCAGCTCTCACTAACTAAAAGAATAGGCCAGGTTAAAAGTTTACTCCAGGGCTAAAAGTTAAAAGTTTACTATGTTCAAATAACCCTGAGTAGACTCAAACATCTTGCTTTGCAAATAGCTCTTAGCTAGCACCAACTAAAAGCTCTAAGTCCTGTTTCTTGTCTAATTGTGCCCTAAATCTTTGTATGTAACTGCCAAACCCAGCTCCTTATATAAAAAATTTACTGAATTTTTCAATAAAGTTGACCTGTGCCTTCCAGCCTCATTGTCATAGAACGAGGCCCTCATAAGACAACCTCTGCATTGGGGCTGGAGAGATGTCTCAGTGGTTAAGAGCACTTGTTAATCATGAGGACCAGAGTTCAGATCCCAGCATCCACATTGGGTAGCTGACAAATGCCTGAACTCCAGCTCTAAGGGCTCCAATGCCCTCTTTCGGCCTCTGAAGGCACCCAGACAACATACACTCACACAAGCATGCAGACACACACATGTACTTGAGCACAAATAAATAAAATAAAGTCTGTATTGAATATATACAACTTTTTTTTCCTTGTCCTTATTACCTAAACAGTGCAGTATGGCAATAGTTTAGTGTTTACACTGTCTTAAGTGTAAGTAATGTAGAGATTGAAGTGTATTAGAGGATGTGGGTAGATTATACTCATTCTATTTAAGGTGCCTGAGTGTCCATGAAATTTAGCATCAGGAACCAGCTCTCAAGGGTTGGTGATAGTTCTAACCTCTACTGTCTTCTGCCGTGAAACTGGAGGTGAGGATGGATGCCTTTTCCAAAGCTGCAAGAGCTGAACTGGGAATGTGTTTCTCCCACTGCTGCCTGTGAGGACTTGCTGGGCCGGCTTCCCTCTGATACACTTTCTGATTACCAGATTCTAAAATGGGGAAAAGGTGTGTCAATGGGATTATTTAATTTTTTCATCTACATCCACACATATCCCTTTCAAACTCAGATATAGTAACACAGTCCTTCCCAATCTTAGGGACAAAGTTAATGACAAAAATCTTGAGTGAGATCAATTCATAATGAATCAAAGTGACTGCATTAGAATATTCATGTCGTTAATATAGTACATGAGTACAGGCATGAAACTTCCCAAGAGAACTTACATACACCAGTTTGCTATACTTTTCCCAGTGACTCTAACTGATATATACTTTCTTTACCCTTTCCATGCCCCCTCTTTTTTTCTGTTTTGAAACAGGGTCTCCCTGTAGCCCCAGCTGGCCTGGAACTTGCTATGAAGACCAGGTTGGCCTCAAGCTCACAGATCCACCTGCCTCTGCCTCTCAAGTACTGGGATCAAAGGCATGCACCACTATGCTGGGCTCCTATGTCCCTTTCTTATTTTTATGTGTGTGGGCTCGGGAGCTAACCCAGAGCCTCAAGCATGATAAACATGAACTCTATCACTAAGCCACACCCACAGTCACCAAGATATTTCTCTAACATTAAATTAGTAGACAAGCAAATAAATATCTACCTGTATACTTTTACAAATGACACTAAAGACCTAGTAACATGAAAACTGATATTCCTCTACAGTCAACTCCCCACATAAATAATGACTGTGACTTGAGTAACTCACCTGTTTTTCCTCTGGTTACTCTCCTCAATGCACTTTCAACTGAGCTTGTTTCAGTGCTTTCCAATTCAGTATGACTATACTTTCTATCTTGTTCTTCCTCTTGCTTTAAAAAAGATTTTAAAATATTGATTAAATGTTTGGATTACTACAGAAATGTAAAAAAAGAAAAAGCAGTCAGCTCTTTTAATTATAAACACAGGGGCTGGAGAGATGTCTCAACAGTTAAGAGCAATGGCTGCTTTTGCAGAAGACTCAGGGTTTAGTTCCCAGCACCCACATGGCAGCTAACAACTATCCCTAACTCCTGTTCCAGGGGATCCAATGCCCTCTTCTGGCCTCCACGAGCAGTGCATGCACAAGTGCACCTAACATGCAGGCAAAATATTCACACATATAAAATAAATAAAATTTAATTATAACAAGATGAACTAAAAATGACCCTAAATAACCTAAATAACCCTAAATAACCCTAAATACATGCAGATTAATAACTATGCACTACATATGCATATTAGTAACCTCTACTCATATATATGTATATTAATACTCATATATTTCAGTCAGTAGTAATTACAAATATTAGAAGATGATATATTAAAAGAAAAACAGAGATAGCATGGTGGTACACACCTTTTATCCTAGTACTCGGGAGGCAGAGGCAGAGGCAAGCTGATCTCTGTGAGTTCAAGGCCAACCTGATCTACATAGCCAGGTCTAGAACAGCCAAGGCTACAGTGAGACCCTGTCTTAAAACAAAATGAACCAAAACAAAAAACCACCAACAGAGATATTTGACAGGTTTTTAATGATTAAAAGAATAATGAAAAACTTTAGGACTGGGCTATAGCTAGGGAGTAGAACATCATCTTGCATGTATGAAACCCTACATTCAATTTCTAATGCTGAAAAAAAAAGAAGACTTTAAGGGTTGGAGATTTAGTTCACTGGTACAGCACTTGTCTTAGCATCTGCTGACCACCCTGAATTTGATACTCAGTGTGTATGCACACACAATAAATAAGTAAATAAATAAATAAGTAAATAAATAAATAAATAGTAGAAAGATTTGGAGGCTGGGGAGATTACTCAGTTGGTGAACTGCTTGCCTTATAGGCTTTGTAGGCACATGCTCTATTCCCAGAACCCATGTTAAAAAGTCAGGCATGGTGGCAAATGCTTGTAATCCCAACACTGGGGATGTGGAGTCAGGCAGATCCCTCAGGCCTGATGCCTACCAGTCTAGTCTAATTAGTGGGTCCCAGGCCAGTGAGAGACCCTGTCTAAAAAAAAAATGGTGAAAGGCTCCCGAAGAACAGCACCTAATGTTGACACCCAGCCTTCACACGTGTCCAGACAACACACATACCTGCATGTATACAAATACACACAAAAATAAAGAAAAATTTCAATATTACTTAATATACTGGTTTTGGTATAATATCAAAATAAGGCCTTAGTCCTCATTATTGGGACTCAAAAAACAATACCCTGAAGTGCAGTACTTTGGTATGCTGAGTACTTTGAAAAGGGACACTGGAGGGTCTCTGAGGCAGCAACAGAAAGGAATCAAGAATACCATCCTTTCATCCCACTGAAAAATCACTGCTCTCTGTACCCACAGCAGCCTCAAACTTCTGTCTGGGGCCACTTAGAACTGCCCAGTCCTGGACTACTGAACTCTCTTACTGCCTCTGGTTCATTACAAACTTTACAAGTTTAATCACTAGGAAATTCCATGATGAGAATGATCTTTCATTAGGACATCTTTTCCCCGACCTTTTTTTTTAGGCGGGGGGGTCTGGTTATGTAGCCCAGGATGGTCTTGGAAACCACATTTCATTTGAAAAACCACCTATTTTGCTAGCATAATTTTAGCACTGTAAACAAGAACAATCTGCAGAGACAATGCAACAAGATTAAACTCACACACAAAATTTCTCCAATGAACTGTCCTTAAGGCCCCTGTCACACAGATGTTAAGCACAGATCAACAGTATAGTTTAATTCTTTTTAACTAAACTCTTTTCTTAATAGGTACATGATCGTAGCATGGCACCAGCCAAAAAAAAGTTGAAAGATTTCTGTCTTCCTCCCCTCTCTTATAACACCTTCTAGAGTGTTACCAAAAACAAGGAAAGTCTTGAAGTGAAAGCAGTTCCTCAAACTCACTTTGGAAAGGCCCTCATGTCAAATGGAAACCAACAGACCATCCCCAAAGCAGTAAGATACTTCCCAACTCACTAGTGCCGAATTTCAAGTGTAGTGCTTTTTCTTGCCAGTGAACTGTTCCCTTGCAAATTCCTGGGCACAAAATTGACTGTAAGAATCAATGCATTTATGCTTTCCTTAAAGAGTGCTCTGTATGTCAGCTGACAAGCATTCTGAATCAGATTCATTACTGTGGATAAAAACTAAATGTACTTTTGAGTACATATGATCCATCACTTTCATAAGGAATTTTGATATATACTACATAAAATGATACTCAAAAGATGTGTTGGGGGGCTGGAGAGAGAGCTCAGTGGTTAAGAGAGCTGCCTGCTCTTGCAGAGGACCTGGGTTCGATCCCCAGCACTCACATGGTGGCTAAGAAACATCTAGTTCCAGGGGATTCGACGCCCTTGTCTGACCTCCAAAGGCATTGCATGACACGGGTGCATGACACATGCAGGCAATACACTCATGCATAAAATAAAGTAATAAAATATTTTTAGAAAGACCAAAAAGAAAGATATGTTGGGGCATGCCTATAATCCCAGCATTTGAGAAAGAGGCAGAAGGATCTGGAATTCAGGGTCATCTTTGGCTACATAGGGAGTTTGATGCCAGTCTGGTCTACATGAGACCTGTCTCAAAGAAACAAAAACCCAAAAACATTTAAAAAGCAAAAAGAGGGATTGGAGAGATGGCTCAGGAGTTAAGAGCACTAGCTGCTCTTGCAGAAGACCTGAGTTCAGTTCCCAGCACTGAATGACAGCTAACAACTGTATGTAACTCCAGTTCCAGGAGATCTGAGGTCCACTTTGGGCCTCCACAGACATTGTATGCATGTGGTTCACTTACATACACGCAGGTAAAACACTCATACACATAATATAAAAAGTAAATGTAAAAAAACCAAAAAACCATAAGTAAATACAAATACTTCAGCAATGTCAACAGCAAACGATATAAATTTTTAAAAGAAAAATTAATTGCAATTATGGTTTCTGTATTTGTGAGAACTAGAGAAATAAATACATTGCATAACCAAGAATTATGATTTTGGGGCTGGAGAGATGGCTCAGTGGTTAAGAACACAGGCTGTTCTCAAAGAAGACCTGGGTTTGAATCCCAGCACCTACAAGGTGGCTAACAACTGTCCATAACTCCACTTCCAAAAGATCTACACCTTCTTCTGTCCTCTGCAGTATTGCATGATGCAGGTGCACTTACACATATGCAACAAATACATGCATACACATAAAATAAAAATAAAAATAAAATATTTTTTAAAAGAATTATGATTTTGGTCCCCCAGCGAGCCCTACTAAATTATGGTAAAAGACACAGCTTTTCTTTCTAGCCAGCTTCTCCAAACACAAACTGTACACTTTCCAAATAATGGCTTTTCTTTTCTTGGCAGGATACCAAATATGAGAACTAACAAGGGCTGAAAGAACTGAACCTAATCACCAAAAAGACAAGCCTCGTTCTTAAATGCGACAATTTCTGGTTTTGGAAACTATATTGGTGATGTTTTCCTGTAAATTAGTCCCTGTTTCCTCTGTGGCTAGGTTACTGTAGCATTCTAATGGGAGACCACAGTTTGGGTTTTGCTGGAGGTAATGGTTCACCACTTGAGCACTTGTCTTTTTTTTGGAATGATTCCATTCTCTTCCACCTGGTTACACAAACCCTACCTGTGTTCCTGACAGTGGCCCTCCTATGTGGCTCATCTTTTTCCTTTTTAATTAAGGTTTAGTTAAGGTTACTCATTGGGAATGTAGCTCAGTGGTACAGAAATATATGTGCTTAACATGAGCAAAGCCCTAGATTTGATCCTTTGTACAACAAAAGAAAAAAGGTTAAAGCACTGAAGAAAAAAGAATCATCAGTCAATCAGTTGTACATGATCTAAGGTGGGTGTTGTAACAACACTGGACAGTGGACTGGCTGTCACTATTCACAGCTTCACTACATCTTTGGTGCAAAAGAGTATATCACAGCTGCCTAGGGCTGAACATGAAGAACAAGACCTTGAATGCTAGACTGAAAAATGTCAACTCAATTCATGGGAAAACTGAGAGACATTACAAGCTTTTGAACAGAAAAATGTCAAGATCAGAACAGAGATCTAAGCATTACTCAGCTATAAAAAGGAATGATGTTCTGGTATACATGTATGAACCCTGAAAACCTAAGCCAGGCACAAAAAGGGAAATCCATTCATGAATACCTAGAACAAGAAAATTCACAATGATAGAAATGAAATCAGAGGTTACCAGGGGCTGAATGCAATGGAGAAGCTTCATTGTCAAATTACCTGGATTTGGAATCATCAAGGGGACACCTTCTGTATACGGCTGTGAGGGCATTTCTAGACAGGTCTAAGAAGGGATGACTCACCCTGAAAGTGGGTGGTACCAGTCCATGGGGTGGTGTCCTTACTGACTAAAAAGGGAAGAAAGGAGAAAGCAAGCAGAGATCTATGCTTCTGGTCACCTCGTACTCCTGCCGTCATGACTTCCCTGATGGACTGCACCCTCAAACCAGGAGCCACAATGCACCCTTCCTTCCTTAAGCTGCTTTTGTCAGATACTTTGTCACAGGCAAGGAGAAAAGCATAGTATACTCACTGGGTTAGACTGGAGATGGGTGCATGAGGAGTTACTTAGGAGGTAATGTGGCTGTTTAGGGTGACGAAAAATTTTAGAAATATCTAGTGATGATGATTGTACAGAAGCATGAATGTGAATTAATGTTGCTGAACTATGCAGTTAAAAGTTCTGACAATGAGCCACCTGTAATTCCTGGATCTGAGAGCTCAAGGCAGGAGAACTGTAAGTTTGAGAGCAGCCTAAGCTATACAGTGAGCACAAGGTCAGCCTAGGAAACATAACAAGAGCCTGTCTCAGCACAAACCACTAAAATGGCAAATGTTATGGTTTTATATACATATATATAATATATATGAATTAAGAATTATGATTTTGGTCCCCCATTGAATCCTCCCTCTCTCTCTCTCTCTCTCTCTCTCTCTCTCTCTCTCTCTCTCCTCTCTCTCCCCCCTCCACACACACACATATACATGTACATATATGTGTGTTTACTCTTATAAAAACAAAACAAACAAGATGCCAAGCTTGAAGGCAGGACAGAGTTCTCATATCTGTATTGAAACCACTGTCGTCATAATTAAAATAGAGACCCCAAATAAACAATGGTCTGAAGGGCTCAGCAGGCAATACAGACAACAGCTCCCCAACACTGCATGTGCCAAAAGATGAAGAACAACCTGGCTGGAGGGACCAGGTCAGAGTCTCTAAAACTTCACAGTATACAAGGACACTGAAGGCTCAAGATGTGTGCCACATGAATTCAACTTTAAAGCACTTACCATCATGCTAGCTTCATTTCCCAGGACCATCCGGATTCTGCTGGGGTCTGCTTAAAACAAAAGAGAGGACAGGAGAAAATTCAGGAAGGCGCACCTTACAAAATTTTTGATAAAGCCTAAGTAAGACAAGTTTTCTGTTTTTTTTTTTTTTCTCTCTCTCTTTTTCTTGTTTTGTTGAGACAGGCTCCCACTATTTAGCCCAGGCTATCCTTGAATTTATGATCCTCCTTCCTCAGACTCCTGAGTGCTGGCATTATTGGTGGCTAAGAAGGATTTTTAAATATTTTATTTATTATTTTTATTTTATGTGTATGAGTGTATTGCTTGTAGGTGCACCCATGTCATGCAATGCCAGTGGAGGTCAGAAGAGGGCACTAGATCCCCTGGAACTGGAGTTAGGACAGTTGCTGACTGCCATGTGGGTGCTGGGAATCGAACCTGGGTCCTCTGCAAGAACAACTAGTGCTCTTAACTGCTGAGTTATCGCTCCAGCCCCCAAGTAAGGGATTTTAAAGATAAAGTAAGCCAGGCAGGGTAGAGGAAGAGGAAGGTGGATCTCTATGAGATTGAGGTTAGCCTGGCCTACATAGTAAGTTCCAAGTCAGTTGAGGCCACAGAGATACCCTGTCTCAAAAATCCAAAATAAATAAATAAATAAATAAACAAACAAACAAACTTGTAACATATATTTCCCTTTTTACACTATTTTTATTTATTTTTTAATTTTTATTTATTTGTTTATTTTTTTGGTCTTTTTGAGACAGGGTCTCCCTGTAGCCCCAGCTGTCCTGGAACTCACTATGTAGACCAGGCTGCCTTGAACTCACAGAGATCCACCTGCCTCTGCCTCCCGAGTGCTGGGATTAAAGGAGTGCAGCACCACACTCGGCTTTACACTATTTTTAAAACACACTCAAAAAACAAGCTTTCCAGGGCTGGAGAGATGGCTCAGCAGTTAAGAACACTGACTGTTCTTGCAGAAGACCCAGGTTCAAATCCCAGCACCCACATGGCAGCTAACAACTGTCTGTAACTCCAGTCCCAGGGGATCTGACAGCCTCTTCTGTCCTCCGCGGGCATTGCATGACATGGGTGCACTTACCTACATGCAGGCAATACACACATACACATAAAAATAATAAATAAAATGTTAAAAAAAAAACAAGCTTTCCAAAAATTCTTACCTTTTTTTCTTGGTTTCTTATGCTCACATATTTTGGTTTCATCCAATATCTGTTCTCCATATTCTGCGATGATCTGAAATTTAAAGTTGAGAATTTAAAGATGTGAGAAACACTTTTCTACAGGCTCAGTAGGCCTCAAACTTAGGATCCTCCTGTCTTAGCCCAAGCAACTAGGACTGTTGGCTTGCCCTACCAGGTCCAGCTAAGGAAAGACACTTTTCTTAGACACTGCCATGTCACTTAATCATCAACACTCTTCAACACAAGAATATTTAAAGTTGAAAATTAAAAATGCCATTTATAGTAAATGCTAGGGAACATAAGAAAGAAACTAGTTTGCAGAGAAGGCTAAAGCCCTTCCACACTAAGTCTGGCTACTGGCTCAGGCTCAGAAGTGACCTTGGTTCATTACAATACTAAAACTCACACCCCTGCGGGGCTGGAGAGATGGCTCAGTGGTTAAGAACAAGGCTGTTTTTGCAGAAGACCTGGGTTCAAATCTCAGCACCCACATGGCAGCTAACAACTGTCTATAACTCCAGTTCCTGGAGATCCGACAGCCTCTTCTGACCTCCATGGGTGGCACTGCACGACACGGATGCACTTACCTACATGCAGGCAGTACACACATACACATTAAAAAACAAAACAAAACAACAAAAAAACATACATGCTATGTATGAAGTTGCATATAGTACTACATGTAACAGGGCATATGCCAGAAAGCTCGGGCTACACAAATGATCCCGAAAGCCCGGGCAACATTTGACATAAAAGTTTCACTCTGTACAGTGGGGCGCTGAGACAAAGTCCATGAAGTTCAGGCTGGTCTCAGATTTGCTACATAGCCAAGGCTCATCTTAAGCTCCTGATTCTCCTCTGAGTACTGGACTTGTATCACTGTGCCAGGTTCAACCTTCGAAACCTTTTCTCTACTGATCTGTTTCTTCCCTAATGTAGGAAACCAGGATGCCAGGCCCTAGGGTGAGGTGAGCCTAAAACTCATAGGTCCAGGCTGCATTCTCTGCTGAAAGGGAGGGGCACTGAAAACAGTGGCTCTGATAATCCCTGCCTTGCAGAACACTGTTGGGCTGGCAGGAGGAGGCGGCCTGGTCATAAAAGTGCAGGCTCCCTGCTCTGTGGGAAAGCGTCTTGGTCAACAACCCTTAGCTCATCTCCTTGTCCTAAAGAAATAACTCAGCTATCCCTGGCTAAGAGATTAGGCCAGGTTAAAGGTTTACTCCTGAGCTAAAAGCTAAAAGTTTATCATGCTTTTAGCTCTAAGAAAGAAAACATTGTGGCCAATAAATTACTGGATGGGCATTGATAACCTTGAGTAAAAGTTTAAGAATCCTTCTGGCGCCAACTAATAGACTAAATGTCCTGTTTCTTTGTACCCTAAATCTTTGTATGTGACTGTCATATCCCACGTGACTGCTAGTTCCTTGGGAGTTTGACTCTGTCGCCGATCAGACCCTCTGCCCCGAAGCCAGCAGGTCCCCCGCTAAGCAAAGCAAACCTGAGTCCCCACACCTAAGACATGCATTTTTTTTCTAATAAACTTCACTTGCTTCTGCTATCCACATGTCACTATGTAGTTCCTTGTTCTGGGACACAAGAGCCTGGAACCGCTACAGAGGTGCCCGTCAAATCCTGATATCTACTGATATAACAGGGATGGGGTGTAGCTCTGTAATAGAAAGTGTTCAGCATGCTGAAATTTGAGTCTCAGCACCAAAAAATAAAGTATACTGTAATTTAAACAGAAACAAATATGTGTCTAGAAAAAGATCTGGAAAGACAAGCACACTGAAACTGAGAGTGAAGGCCGGGGCTGCAGGGTCAGTGTACAGCTCACTGCTAGAATCCTTCCTACCATGAGGGAGGAGGCTGCAGCTTCAATCCTCAGTATGGGACACTGGGGAATAACATTTCAGAGGGAGAAAGGGAAAAGAAGCTCAAAATTTTTTAGTACACACCTGAATTATTTGAATTTTTACAAGCATGTATAAAGAGTAAAGATAACTGTTTTAGGGCCAGCAAGACGGCTCAATAGGTAAAGTGCTTGCTACCAAGCCTGACAACCCTAGTCTGATCACCAGAACTCACTTAAAGGTGGAAGGAGATAACCTACTTCTACAAATTGTCCTCTGACTTTCACATGCACACCCTGGCATGCCCATAGCGACACCACCCCCACCCCCACACCCCTACATAAATGCACAAGCACACACGTTAAAAAAAAAAAGATAAGTATTTCACCATACTCATGAGGTGTCAAACCAGTGGCACTCTTGTCCCACCTCAGGAGGTAAGCACTTCTGGACATGCCGGGCTAAACTGCCTCTGCAGAGCAGTGTGGTAGCCGAGGGACGCTGTGAAGGATTCCTTTTAAACAGCTGCTTGACAATATACTGAAGATCATAGGAATAATGTGATGGCAGTGGGCGGATAGACCCTTGACATACTTTCAGGATAAGATTTTTCCAACTGTTTGCCTGAAACTTAAAAGTAAAAACCAAACTTTAAAAGCAGATACATGGAAAGAAAATATGGAAATAAGAAAAATATCAGCTGAAGTAAATTCATATTCTCATAATTATTTCCATTTTAGAAATGTACTTGCTGCTGGGCGTGGTGGTGCTCGCCTCTAATCCCAGCACTAGGGAGGTAGAGGCAAGTGGATCTCTGTGAGTTCGAGGCCAGTCAGGTTTACATAGAAAATTCCAGGCTAGCCAGGGCTGTAAAGTGATACCCTATATCAAAAAGCAAACAAAAAACCCAAAGAAACAAAAAAGAAATGTACTCGCTGTTAGTTGTTTTCTTCCTAGAGGCATCATTAAGATACAATTCTACAGTCTTACAGGGCTTGGGAGAAAGGTAAACATGAACAGTAAAGCCTTCCCTATCTTGACAACCTTCTACCAGTGTCTGCTTGTGCTAGCAAAGCTCTGGGTTTACATAGCAAGCTCCAGGATGGCTGAGGCTACAGGGAGACCCTGTCTCAAAATCCAAAAAAAAAAAAAAAAAAAAAAAAAATACGATAAGCATAAGCATAGCCTGTTTTGTATGATGGAACAGTTTTGCAAATGGACAGTAGTAACAATGGCATAATAAGATGAATGTAATTAATGTCATTGAATTGGAAACTTAAAAATTACTAAAATGGCAAATTTTATATTTTCCAAAAAAAAGTAAAGAAAGCTCCGTATATCCATATGAGTCGCAGACACTAAATACTAGACGTTTCCTACATAGCCACAAAACAGCACAATGCAAAGATATAACAATGGCATATGAAAACTTTTATAATGACTTCATCCTAGGGAGGCACAGTCAGAATCTGGAATACTGCTTCGACATGAGAGCTGCCCTTTGTTCTGACACCTTATTTACTTACTGGATGCCTGAGGGTACAGAGTTCATACAGAATGCATCCCAAGGACCAGATGTCACTAGAAGTGTGAAGAGATAAACAGCAACTGCATTATCAATTGTCATGAAAATATATGCATTTTCTTTTGTTTTTATTCCATTTTTATTTATTTTGCCTGTGTGTATACACGCATATGCATGTGGAGGTCAGAGGACCGCTTGAGGGAGTTGGATCTCTTCTTACACCATGTGGGTTCTGGAGATCAAACTCAGGTTGTCAGGCTTGGTGGCAAGTACCCTTACCCGGTGAGTCATCTCATTGTCCCTGCACACATGCAAAATAAATAAGTTTTAAAAAAGAAGTGTAATGCTCATGATAAAATGAACCATTCCAAATCAGGATGGTTCAATAGCATTCAGTCAAATTTGTGAACTCAATAGCAAGCAGGAATGTCTGCAGATTCAGGCCACCACAGCTGGAAGAGCTTCGAAGACCTGGGACAGCTTGCATTTGACAGCCCTGGGGACAGCTAAGGCCTCTCACGGCTTCCCCGATGGACAGCTCTCTGCTGAGGCAGAGCTGGCTAGACAGCTCTCAAAGGGATCAAAGGGATCCTGTGTTTATTTACTACAAGCTAAAATCTGTCTGTTAGGAGCTCTCTCTACCCCCAGAGTTTGGCCTATGTCCAAAAACAAAGTAAAATTACTATTTTTTTCCACAAAATAGCTCTTCAAAATCAGAGGTAATAGGTAGGGGCCCCAGACCCTGCTTCTTCAGGCTAAGTGGCTCTAGTTCCCTCTGTTTCTCTCACCACCCACCTGTCACCAAGACTTTCCTCAAGAATACTCTTTGAAACTGATGCCTCTTATCATCCATCTACCTCAACTTATAATCTCATTTAAAGAGCAAGCCTGCAGAAAAGTTGCAAAGCTCACATACTCTTCCCAAAGTCCCCAGTCATGCTTGCGTGTTGAGTCCTTTACTTTACATATCTGAATCTCTTGAATGCAGGCTGCAAGTGTCAGACTTCATCCCCAATATCTCAATACATAGCCTCTAAAAGTAAGGATAGTCTCCTTCTTAAACACTACCATTTTCACACCCAAACAATTTAAGCTTAATTCTGTAATAATTATCCAACAGTCCATAATCAAATTTCTCCAACTGCTGTGAAAAGGTTCCTTTAAAGCTGCTTTGTCACCAATAAAGTCATTTTATTTTGTGGTACTAGGGATTGATTGCAGAGTCTCAGCTATGCTAAGCAAGTTATCCACCACTGTACTATTCTCCAGAACCCTTTCATTTTATTTTTATTATTTTTATCTATTTATTTTTTTGAGAAAGGGTCTCCCCGTAGACCAGTTGGCCTGGAATTCACCATGTAGACCAGGCTGGCCTCAATCTCACAGACCAGAGGCCTGCCTCTGCCTCCTGAGTGCAGGGACTAAAGGCATGTGCCATCCCACCTGGCTTTTTTTTTTTTTAAAGACAGTGTCTCACTGTATAGCCCAGACTGTCAGGTGCTTCTTGCTTCAGCCTTTTGAGTGCTGGGACTTCAGCTGTGTGCTGCCATGCCTGACAGCAAACGGTGTTAATAATAATACTTTATGATACTAAAAACTGGAAACACAAGGCCAGCCACAGAGGAACGGCTAAACAAATTTTGAGAGCGCATACAATAAAACATGCATAGCCATTACAAATATATATGAAAAGGGCTGGGGCGGTAGCTCAGCCAGTAAAGTGTTTGCTTTGTAAGATGAGGCCCTGAGTTCAAAACCAAGAACATATATAAATAAATGGCTTACATGACCTGGTCTAGGCTCTGTTCCTTTTTTATATATTTTTATTTTATGTGTATGCGTGTGTTGCCTGTGTGTAGGTAAATGCACCCATGTCGTGCAATGCCTGCGGAGGTCAGAAGAGGCTGTTGGATCCCCTGGGACTAGAGTTATGGACAGTTGTTAGCTGCCATGTGGGTGCTGGGATTCAAACCCAGGTCTTCTGCAAGAACAACCAGTGTTCTTGACTACTGAGCCATCTCTCCAGCCCCAAGAACTTATATTTTTAAAAGAGTCAGGTATGGTGGGGTTCACTTGTCTCCTAGCACTGGAGAGGCAGACAGGGAGATCTCTGGAGCTCACTGGCCAGCCAATGGAGCCTTCTTGGTGAGTTCCAAGCCAGCAAGAACCCATGTCTCAAAAAAAGGTAGACAGTGCCAAAGGAATGACAACCAAGTTTGTCCTACATACAGATGCACATGCACCTGTACACACACACACACACACACACAGAGGTATGAAGAATTTAAATAATGTGGAGCAGTGACTATGAAATAATACAAAATGTAAAAAGCCGAATACCAAACTGTATATGTAAAACATCAACTGGTACGTTCCAACAAAATGTTATTTGAGCACTGTTGTAAAATGGTGATTTCAATTTCCCTTTTTCTTTTCTTTTTTTTTTTTTTTCTTTCTAGCACTGGGGATGGAACCCAGGGCCCTGTACACCAGGCCACTGCTCTACCTCTGAGCTGCATCTCTAACTCTGTATTTCTTTCTCTATGCTTCTACTTCTACTCCTCCCTGCTCACCCACTGTGGGACAATAGGCATGTAAAACTTGTATTTTTAAAAATCACACTTTAAACCATAAACTCTCCATATGTTATCAATCAATTAATTCATCAACTCAGTGCCTATTATGTAGCCCTATTAATGACTTACTGATACAACCTAGAGCTTCCCAAATGTGGCTGCATATTGGAATCTTCCAGTGATTTTGGAAAAAATTGACACCCTGTTTTCCATCCCTGACATTCTGGTCTAAAGGCTACAAAAGCATCCTGGGCTTCGGGATTCTTAAAGCGGAAGCAGCAAAGTCGGGGGACCAGTGGTGTTGCTCATATCATCCCTAGAAATGACTGGCTCTTTTTCCACACTCGGCTCCTCACAGCTGTGATTACAATAGCTGGCGAACCATGACTGTCCTCTAGAAGCTTGAGAATATCAATTCTATATTATTTTAAAACATACATTTTTATCCTATTTTATTTCTGTGGTGCTGGGGAACAAATCCAGGGCATGTGCTAGGCAGGTGTTCTAATAGGTAGCATCCCCAAACCTCAAACATATTTTTTACAAAGCTGGGTTGGGGAGATGGCTCAGTAAGTAAAAGCACTTTCCTTGCAAGTCTTAGTGCCTTAATTCATTCTCCAGAAAGCACATAAAGAAGTTGTATTTGTGCATCCATAATCCCAGCACTTATACTGTGAGATAGATGGTAAGGTAGTAGAATTAGTCAAAAGGCTGACGGCCAGCTAGTCTGGAATACTGCAGCGCAGCAGCAGAAACTAGAGATACAGACCTGTCTCAACAAGTAGGAGAGAAATGATGGCAAAGATGTCCTTTGATCTTCACACACAGGTGGTCTCTCTCTCTCTCTCTCTCTCTCTCTCTCTCTCTCCACACACACACACACACACACACACACAATAATTACAAGAATTTAAAAAGCTAACAAGCTCACAGATATGCTTGAAAGTGGCACAAGATTCAAGCATCAGTTTGCAGGCTACAAACTCTGTTACCAATGGTCAACCTTACCCATGTAAGTACACTACTTACCTTTTATTGTTATAAGGCAGGTTTTCCCAGATTTCTGGAGGCACATAATAAGGTGTTCCCACATATGTACGTGCAAAGGCCATGGTACTAACAGGACAGAAAGGAAAGGTGATTATAGGGCACTCCTGCCAGTGGTTGTTCCGATCAGTGTCACTACAAAAGGGCAGATACTTACCTGGAGAGAAGACGTGCAGAGCCAAAGTCTCCCAGTTTCACTCTTCCATTTTGGGTGAGGAAGACATTCTGCATTGAAAAAGAACATAAGACTGTCTTCCACCATGCAAGCATAAGACAGCAGTTCCAGAAAAGCTTTCAAAGCTTGTTGATGATGGAAATAAGGGAAGAAATGTGGAGTCCCAAAGAGGACTTCAAAACAGCAAGATCTTGTTTTCTATTTTGTTCTGTATTGTTTTGTAGACAGGGTCTCGCTATGCAGTCCTGGCTGGCCTGGAATTCACTATGTAACCCAGGCTGGTCTCGAACTCAAGAGATCTGCCTACCTCTGCTTCCTGTGTGCTAGGACTACAGGCATATACCAGCACACCTGGCCAAGATCTCCTTTCTATCTCTTAAAAAAGCTACGCATTCCCTTCCCAGTTCCTCTTAAAAAACTACGCATTCCCTTCCCTGGGATTGAGGTTGACTGCTTTGAAATCTAACATTGAAATTTCAGGTGGTATCAGCGATCTGCTCAATAGGAACCAGTGGCAGGTGCAGGTTCTGACCACTTGCCATCTCAGAGTATATGGATTTGGAAAGTGAGCACTAAAGGGTACATTCACATATATTACAAAAGAGATTACAATTCCTTTTTCACATATAGTACTTTATTTGGTAAGTATAAATACCAGACCAAAGTGTACAAAGTTTCATGTAGGATGAACAAGTTCTCAAGATCTATTGTATGACACAGTGGACACAGTTAATGTATGAGATTCTTAAGAAGTACTAGAAGAGTAGATTTTATATTTATTTATTTATTTATTTATTTATTATTATTATTATTATTTTTTGTGGTGCTGAGGATTGAAGTCAGGTGACTCATGCTGGCCTCAAACTAGAAATCCTCTCGCCTCCATAGGGCTGGGATCACAGGCAGGCACCACCATGTCTGGCCCAAGAGTAGATCTTAAATGTTCCAATGATTAAACAGTACATACAGTTATAGATATATCAATTAACATGACTTAATCACATCACTGTGTATGTATCTCAAAACATCACATTGTATGCTATAAATATATAACAATTTTGTCAACTTTACCTTAATAAGATAAGGGAAATTTTTAAAATTAAGAGTATATACAATTAAATAAATATTAAACTGGCAAATATTTCTAAGATAGAATGCCCCCAAAGGAAATAAATGACGACAACAACAGAAAGACAATGCAATAGTTTTCTTTCTTTTTTCCTAACCCCAAAGTGCCTTTTACTCACTTTGGACTTGATATCTCTGTGCAGCACACGTTTCTTGTGAATGTGATTTACTCCAAGACACATTTGTGTAAACCAATTAAGTATCTATGAAAAAAAAGTATACAGAGGAGTTATGGGGACTGAGTTAGGGGTAAAAAGGATCAAAACACATTGTATGAAATTCTCAAAGAATAAAAGTATGTTACCAAAGAAAAAAGTATACAACATCTGCAAAAATGCAGTAAGTAGTGATGTCAACCAAGTTTGGAGACTTGCTCTACGTCTTAGTTTACTAAGGTTTAAAACTGAATTCTGAACTCATAAAATTATAGTTCAGCTAAAATTTAATATTACCAACAGAATTCAGAAAAGCTGATTGTCATGTTTCATCACCTTATGTACAATGTAAATGACTACTTCCATGAAATTTCTATTATATTTTTCTTGTACTCAACCAAATGTAAGTTTCTTTGTTTTTATTTTTTGTTGTTTTACAGGTGGGGTACAGGGTCTCATGTATCCCAGGCTGGCCTCAAACTTGTTATGTAGCCAAGGATGACCTTGAACTGATGACCCTTCAGCATCTACCTCATATAGACTAGGACTACAGGCATGCACCACCATGCCTGTGTGGTGCTAAGGATGGAGCCAGCGGCCTCATTTCCACCCCTTAAGTACTTCTTATTATCTAATTTATTATTTACTTACTTATTCCCACCCCATCCCACCCTCATCTCTCTTTTTCTTTTTTTAAAAGACAGATTCTCATTATGTAGCCCTGGCTGGCCTGGAACTTGCTATGTACACCAAGCTGACCTTAAACTCACAAAGATCCACCTTCTTCTGCTTTCTGAGTATTAAGATTAAAGGTATGCACCACCACACTCAGTGTCCATCCCTAAAGTATTTATTTTTATTATACATGTATGAGTGTTTTGCCTGAATGTATTTAAGTGCACCCATGTTGTACAATGCCTGTGGAGTCAGAAGAGATCTCCTGAAACTGGAGTTAGAGACAGTTGCTAGCCACCATGTGGGTGCTGGGAACTGAACCCAAGTCCTCTGCAAGGGCAGTCAATGCTCTTAACCACTGAACCATCTCTCTGGCCCCCCTAAAGTATTTCTTAAATGTACATACAAAAAGTAGTTCACCATTAAGAAATGAATTACAGTGGTTAAGAACATGTGCTATTCTTGCAGAGGATCCAGGTTTGGTTCCCAGCACACACACAGTAGCTCACAACTGTCTGTAATTCCAGTTCTAGAGGATTCAGTGCTCTCTTCTGGCCTTGGGTAGTGTATATACATACACACAGGCAGAAACATGCATCATCATCATCATCATCATAATAATAATAATAAAAGAAATGAGGGGCTAGAGAGATGTTAAGAGAACTGGCTGCTCTTGCAGAGAACCTGAGTTCAGTTCCCAACATCCACATGGTGGCTAACAACTGTCCATAACTCGTTACAGGAGATTTGATACCCTCTTCTGACCTTCTCAGGCACTTCGCAACATGGGTGCGCTTACATATATGCAGGAAATACACTCATTCACATGACATGAACTATACTTGCAATCCTAGCACTGAGGAGGTGGAGGCAGAAACAGAAGAAATTTTAGGTAAGACCAGCCTGAGCTAAAAAGTCATACCTTGTCTCAAAAACAAAAAACAAACAAAACAAAACTCCACAGAAAAACATTTAAAAAAAAAAACCCAACAAAAACAAATAGCCAGCAAATCAGTAAAATTTTGGCTTAAAGGAACATATTGAACTTTAAAAGGAAAAATGTGGGGACCTAAAGGCCCCACCTTGCATACGTCCGAAAGGAAGTTACTGGGGGCGTGGCCTGGCTTGCTTTGAAAGTCTGAAGAATATTTCCACACTGCTGAGGAGTGCATGATCAGCACATGACCATCCTTAAGATACACCCTCAGGGGGGAGGAGGGATTTCCAGGTGCCTTTATAAGCTCTGTAACACCTGCAATAAATGAGTCCCTGCTTGACTAGACTCCCCGTTGCTTCTGAATGTCCCGGTACTGGGGGCCGCGTGCTTACTCATTCCCAATCATCACTGCGCTGGGGGTCGCTGGTTCGAAACCCCCGGCAGAAAAATACTGAGAAATAGGTACTCTCAAGACGGATATGGCAGGCTTCATTCTTCTAATGATCTAGTAATGTAAAATCAAACCTATTATGCCTTCTAAAGTTTCAGATCAAAATCAAAATCAATACAAAGTACAATGAGTAATGTAATTTGGAAATTCTCCTAAATGTGGAAGTTTTACCTCTTAATACATTTGCCTTTTCTTTCTTTCTTTTTTTTTTCTTTCTTTTTGACAGGGTCTTAATATGTAGCCCTGGCTGACCAAGGTAGCATCAATTTATCCACCTCTGCCACCCAAGTGCTACCGCTCCTGACACAGTGGTAGACAGAGTACTCTGGAGGCTAAGGCAGGAGATTCCTAAGAGTTTGAGGCCAGCCTGGGCTACATAGTGAGCAGCAAGCCAGGCTAGACCATAGAGTGGGACCATCTCAAAAAACATAAACTATTTCAGGCAGCCACAGCCCAAAGACATGAATCAGTAACACTGACTCAGAAACCGGTTGTTTCGAAGTGGGCTGAGCAAACGTAGATGCCAATGCTGTTGTTTTAATTTATACAAAGTTTATGAGACAATTTACTTTTGAATTTTGAGGGAAACCATGTGAGTCAATTTCTTACCATATCTTCAGGAAATAACTTTCCTTTTTGCTGTTTAATCCTCTGCATTAGATCCCCTTCTTCACAATATTCCATCACAATATACAGATGTCCATCCGCTAAAATATACAAAAGACGTCTTAGGAAAGCCATAGTTGTACAAATTAAATTCAGATATGAGCATATTGGGGGGATTAATATTTACCTTCAAATGATTCTTTAAAGGCAACAACATTGGGGTGTCTCATTTTGGCTAGCAGAACAGCCTCTTTCCTAGAATTTTGTGCATTAGAGAAAGACTGCGAAAAGACTTTAAATAACTATAAATTCAATGCTGAATTTTAAAATACTTCAAACTAATAGTATAAAAGGCTTCAGTGCTACCTGTAGATTTGAACAACTACTTTTGCTCAAGCTTATCAAACTCTAAAACGAAGTACGTGGTGACTTTTTGACTTGGCTCTTTTGCATACTGCAGCTGACCTTTCATTGCAACATATTCTTTATTTTTCCTTATACACAGAGAATATAAACTCATTTTAACATCTACTTGGGAATGGTGATGTGGCTCATAGGTAGAGCCCTTGGCCCAACATGCTGATAAAAATACATTGCATGAAATTGTCAAAGAATTAATAAAAATGTATTTTAAAAATCATCAAATGCTGGGTATGGTGGTGCATGCCTTTAATACCAGCAATTTGGAGGTAGAGGCAGGTAGATCTCTGTGAGATCAATGCCAGTCTGTTCTATATAGCCAGTTCCAGGCCTGCTGGGGCTACAGAGAGACCCTGTCTCAAGAAAACAAACAAACAAACAAACAAACCGAACCAACCAACCAACCAACCAACCAACAAACAACAACAACAACAACAACAACAACAACAAAGAATGCATTGGAAAAATGCCTAGCACTCTGGGGGTTGTATTAAAACTTATTTTTTAAAAACTTGATATTACTAAGCAGTTTCTATAGTATGAATTCTTTTATGGGACAATTACAATGTACATTAGCAAATAACTCACAGGGAAAGACCTACAAATGGGGCCTCTGGGCTGGTTCCTATACCAAGTGCTTTGCATTTGAAGTCATTTCTTCATCTCATTTTATGTTTTCATGATTCACATTGCCCCTGAGTAATTTTGGACAGATTTCCCTCACTGCTGGTATACAACACTGGAAATTATAATCAGCTAAATCACTAAGATTAAATAGTACAAATTGACTATTTTTGTCCTTTTGTTAATTATACTATCCTAAGAACCTTATAAGATACAACAGACCTTTGTAAAAATAATGAATAAACTGATTACACTTTATAGGAAGGATAAATTACATGCTAAATCTCAAGAATTTATTCTTTTATAGAAATTGCATGTTCACTTTCAATGTGAGCTATTTTCTTTAGCAGTAACCTTGGGAAGTCTTATTTCTTTCATGGCAAACAGCCGATTGCTGCTTTCCTGTTGCACCACAAGTGCTCTGCCAAAGGAGCCCTGGCCAATCACTCTCAGGACTACGTAGTCGTCCATGCTGGGCACCCACAGCTGGGCTCCACTCTTGCAGTCACCACTGGCTCTCCCAAACTATATTAAAAAAACAAAATCATTTGAGAATTTTTTAAATGCAGAGTTAATTCAAAGTAGCTATAATCACCATGCCAGGATAAAAGCAAATTCTTCCTTTGGATGTGTAAAGTATATCACTCCAAAATATGCTATTTGGCCATAAGGATTGTTTTGAACTGAAAGCAATTTATCCTTTGTCTTGTCTAAGTACAAGATACAGATCTATATAAAAGTAACAAATTCCCATCTGTCAATGTGTCTTCCTTCAGGAGAGAAGACAGCCTTTATCAAAGGAGTCTGCATTATAAACCCTGGCTTCCATTAGTTCCCCACCCTGATGTTTCCCTTCCTAGGACAATTAATGCTAGGACAATTAAAGCTCCCCCTTCCTTTGTCTCAGGACTTCTCCACAATTTATTACTTGTTAACAGGAAGTGAGCCCAACATTTCTATACATGTTCTAAACCTGCCTTCTTCCTGATCCCACTTAATCTGTCTCTTGTCACATTAATTTGAAGAGTCCCTTCAAAAAAGTGAAAGTTTTTTCTTTGCCTACACTATTCATTTAACAGGAAGCCTCTGGGTTAGACTGGCAGTCCTCAACTGTCTCTGCCATCACAGTCACCCCTTAATAAAACACAGGGGGCAAGGGTACAGAAAGCAACCATAGCTTGCAACAGAAAAACTCAGGGAGTTGGGAAATGTTTATTTAAGCTGAAGCCTGAAGGATGATTAGAAGTGGGTTAGGCAAAGAGGAGAGTGATCAAGAAATCACTCTGTATTTTAAAAGACTATGTTCAGTTCAAGTAATTGAAAGGTGACTCTAACAGGCTGACAAGGCAGATTTATCTGCAGATCTCTGTAGGCCAAATTTGGTTGCCGGATTTTTATAAACTTCAGGGTAATTAATAATTTGTCTCAGAAGGACTTCAACCAAGAGAACAATATAATCAAATCTACATAGTTGAAAAGCGACTTGTTCAGGACATAGTAAATGGAGTGGATGAGGGGTGCACAGGTGGCCCAGATCAGTGAGAGGACTCCAAAAACAGAACAGGCAAGAAGAACTCAATGATGAAATGCAATAGGGAGGCGGCAAGGGGGAAAACAGAAAGAAAAAATGAAGATCTGAAGCTATCTTAGATAACAGATTTATGGGGAACAAATGAGGAGAAGGTTGACTACCAAGCTTCTGGTAGTTATTCTAAACTAAATAATGGTGATACTTTAATGGTGATACTTAATTCTCACAGTTAAGACGCTGGGGTCATATGTGCAGTCTTTGCTTTTTCTGGCTTGGGAGTGTGGTATAATTTAGGATAGGTGAGGTGTAATTTAGGATAGAGGGGAAACAGGTTCCATTTTGGACATATTAAGCTGGAAACACCTAGGACTCTAAAGGGATAGTAAACACAACTCTAACATAAACGTTTCCATGTAAAGGCAACCAGCAGAATTTTTAGCACACTTTGCATGGTATATAAGCTATACAAGTAGCTATTATGATTATTAGTAAAAGCTTTTGGGGAGATTAGTGGTAGAGTGCTTGCCTAATGCGTTAAAGGCCCTGGATTACATGAAAGAGGGAGAGGAGACTTCGGGATGGGGTTGCACTTAGGGAGGTGATACCCTTATCACAGGAGAAAAACACTCGAACAAATTTATTTATTTTTCAAAAATCTGAGTTGTGCTTTACTTTTTGTTTATTTGTTCAAACCACACAGAGAATACAAAAAGTAGAGCAAAACCACATACCAAAACCTGTTATACAGTGATATAACGAATGATACAGGTTCCAGTACAGCCAGGGGAGACCCTGTCTCAAAAACCAACCAACCAGTCTTCCATTTGCATTCCTGTCTATGACAGAATTACCAGGAAAACCTAGAAATAAACCCTCCATGATACCAAATCCAGGCCTGCCTGTCTACATAGCAAGTTCTGTCTGGACCAATCAGAATTATGTTGCAAGACCCTGTCTCAAACCAAACCAAACCAAACCAACAAAACAAGCAAGCCCCTTACAGCAGTCTAACTGACCCCTGGTTTCAGAAAGACTGCTGTTTCCCCGTGTTTCTGGTGTTTGAGGCTTTTATTCTGTGTGACTGAAAATAAATGAGAAGCAAAAGCAACCAAACTTTTCTTGGTCGAAAATCGCATTTGGACTTTTCAGCCCTGCCTGCTACTCAGTATTGTTATACTCATTGACTTGAGTGGAGAAAGTGGACCGGTTCCCTCACATGCCTAAAACAAAACACACACTAAAAATAACAAGCTAAAGCGAAGTGTGTTGCAAAGTGTCCAGGAAGGGGATCTCTGGGGAGACCTTGTTTAGGCAGCGAGCGCGCATCGCGCATCCTGAGGGCGTCGCATCTACACCCGGGATGCAATCTTTCCCTGTAGAGCACCAGACCCAGCTCGAGCCCCGGGCCGCCCCTGCGCACTCCCGAGGCACACTTCCGCGGTCAGCCTCAGGCACGCGCGCCGCCAGCCTGCGGGACAGAAGCGCGAGGCCGGAAGGCTACCGGCCTTTCCCAGCCGCCCCGCGGCCCAGGACCCCAAGACGCCCCACCGTGCTCCTCTCCAGAGACTGCATCCAGGAACCCACCTCTCCTCACCCGCCTCCCGCATCCGCTCCTTCACCGGAACCCACGTTTCCGCGGGGCGGGGCCCGGCGAGAGGTGATGGGCGTGGCACAGCCGGAGGGCACTGCGGGTGCAGCGTGAGGGGCGTGGCGGGCAAGGCAGAGCGTGCCTCAGGGAGTGGGAGCAGAAAGCTCGGAGTCTAGAGGGAGGCGCGCTTCTTGCAGTAGGCCGGCCCACGAGGAGCTTGGCTTTGACCCTGTTCCAAGTTGCTGTCGAATAGTGCTACTATTGTGTGAAGGTGTCTTCAGTAACTTTTCACCATGTTAGGCGGGCAGCCCACAATAAGTAAATTTCATAGGGTGTATGAGCTTGGACAAAAGTGACAACAGAATGCCTCCTCTCCTCCTCCAAGAAATCCACGTCCCACTCTGAAATCTATTTGTTCCCTGACATGGCAAAAGAGCATTAAGATTCCACCTGTAGTAGGGCGTGGTGGCACACGCCTGTAATCCCACCACTCCGAGGCAGAGGCTGAAGATCAAGGGTTCAAGGCCAGCTGCCCCATGCAGCAAGGCTGACCCTCATTGTTCCACCGCACCCCCACGCCTCACTATACATATTCTAGCTGGAACTAAAGTTTTGTGGGTTTGTGAATTTTTGATTTGTAGCATTGGCTGACATGGAACTCGTTATGTAGACCAGGCAAACCTTAAACTCAGATCTGCCCCCTCTGCCTCCAGGGGATTAAAGGTGTACCTGGCTAGCAATGTTTGTGGAAGAAATTAAAATGAAAGGAAAGCAGACCAACCAGGTGTCAATTACATCTACTTCTGTTGTGGCAGGATAGAAAGGGAACATTAAAGAGACAGAGGAAGGGGAAGGAGCCCTTCACTTCTTGAATCTGGTCAAAGTTTCTCACTAGTCAAGAATTCCAGCACAATTAACAATTGCCAGGACCAAGTAGAAACCTGAAATTTTCTAGGAATCTCACAGGAACCCCTATTTACAGTTAAGAGACATGTCTTAACCCCCTTATGTAAACCAAGTGGCCTGGAAGAGGCTCAGACCAACAGAGCTAAGTGGAAAGGACACTCCAACCTATAGAGCTGCCAAAGCTGTGCAGTACACTCCAGAGTTCCTGCTTTCCTGAGCTGTCACCCATGCTGGGGTGGGCTTTAGTGAGTCATTTCTGCTCCTCTAAGTAAACAATAAAACGCAGTGGCCCAAAGTTAGATTTTGGTGGTCTGTTGTTGGTTCCCTCTCTGGGGTGAGTAGACATCTCCTCATGTCTCCCACAACACCAGCCCTCATAAATTATGTACTGAAATAAATGCCACACTGAAGCTGAGAGCATAGCCCCAAAGTAGGGCTATCCAGTCCCATCACTAAAATAGTCATTGGAATGTCATTATACAGATATTTATTGTATACATATTAAAGTTAAAAAATAAAAATTCTTCCCTCCAGAATGTAAGACAATAAATAAAAGTTATACAAAGTAATGAACACAAAGACTATTATTACATACATTGCTATTAAACTGATCTTTTACCATTCACCTGTCTGAAAGTATAGAGTTGTAATGGGATTTATGCCTTTTAAATATTAGTTTACTGCCTTGCAAAACAATTTTATTTGTAGTGTTGTTAATGTGAAGAGAAGAAAACTGCTGTATGTGACCATCATGTCTCAGGGGACATGATTCAACAGTAACATTTTTATATTATGGAAAAGAAAACAAATTTAAGTATCATTTTGGAAATGCTACCTAAGGTAGAACATTTATTAAAAACATTCCTTCCCAAACCCCATTAACTATCCCTTCTCTGGGATCTCAGTTACAATGAAAACTACCTCTCAGAGAGGCAAAGTGAACCTGATGGACAGCAGGAAGAGCAAGGGATGCCAACTTGAGTTGGTGAAAAAGCAAGCTGAACCTTTTATATCTTAGTATTTGAAGGGAGTTGCTCCACATACCACAATTTTTCCACTTTTTTAGAGCTAGGTACTGACCCAAGGCCTCAGACATGTTAAGCATATGCTCCCAACCCAATTTTAGACTTTCATACTAATCAAAGAAATGGAAAAAAATAATCAGTATTCTGTTTAAAGACAAAGAAACATGAAAAATTTAAAAACATGTCCATGTAAAAATGTAAATTTATTTAGAATATATTTCCTGATGATACCTCATTACTTAAATTTAGTAAAGTGAACAAGCTATTATATTCAAAAAATACAATATACAAGCTAACAAAGTTCACCAGTATTAAAGAAAAAGTCTATTGAGATAGATGGACATGGTAGGAACAGACTTCTGACACACAGAAGGGCAACTATTCCTATAACATGTATGTCAATGAAGCTCACTGCCATGAACAGTTAGGTACCTGGAGAACTCCAGACCTGTCTCCACAGACCACAGGCAAATACAAAGCCATGCAAAACAAAACACCACAGCAATTACAAAACTCATTCCTCCTGGGAGCTTTACTTCTCCCCTGTTTTATCCGTCTCAGCGAACATCGAGCACAGGGCTGTGTTGGGGCGGCAAACAAACGCATCTCCTCCCAATTCTGATAACTGCTCCAGTGAAGACACAGAAGGGTAATGATCTTTTAACATATCTGGTAGTTGACACATTTTGTCTTGAATACGCTGGGAACGTCTCACTGGTGTCAGAAACTTTAGCTCTTTAAATGTGGAATTTATTTTATCATGTCTCATCTTTTTCATACTGAAAAACACAAGATTGTTTCCAAAATTCAAAAAGCATGTTAAACATTTTGCCATATGTATTTTGGTTTTTTTTGTTGTTGTTGAGACAGGGTTTCCCTATAACCCTGGCTGGCCTGGAATTCATTATATAAACCAGGTTAGCCTCGCTCTCACAGAGATCAGCCTCCCTCTACCTCTAGAGTGCTAGGATTACAGGCTTGTGTTACCATGTCCAGCTTTTACTTTGTTTTCCTTATATTTTATACTAGTTATCATACTGTATATTGTATGTGGCAAGTACTTTATAGAAAGGGAGAGAGGTTCTATAAGTTTCTTGAAGTGGGGAACTTATACTTTTCTTTATTTGTTGTTAGAATTTATACAGAGTGGTCACTTTAGCAGTTGTGAAATAAACTAATCCCTCAGTTCCAAACTCTACTGCTACTAACGATATAGAGGTTAAAGTAAACTGGTATAAATGTTTTCTTTTTCAAAGTAATACTGTGTAGGGAAAAACAAAGCCAATACAGTAGTGAAACATTCCAGTGATACTTGCAGGGCATGATGGTGCACACCTTTAATCCCAGCACTAGGTAGGCAGTGAGATGATGACTCAAAACAAATGAACCTTTTTACCCCTTGTTTTGTTTTTGTGAGACTGAGTAGCCCAGGCTGGACTTGAATTCATAGCAATCTTCCTACCTCAGCTTCCCAAGTGCTGTGATTACAGGTGTGATCTATCATACTGAAGGCTCTGGACTTGACCCTTAGCATTAAAAATTTTTTTTTAAAATTATCCCCGGGTGTGAAAACAAATGGCAGTACATTTTAAAAGTTTACCTTTGCAAGCATGGTGTAGAAGATACATTATATTTAATTATGCAACCTGCTCCAGTCCCTGAATCAGGGGTTGCAATATCACTGGCTGCATCTTTAGTTTTATTGTCTTGGTTGTTTTCACATTCTTCAATCAACGTATTTTTGTGATATTCATTCTCCACTTCTGGCATTCCTGACTCTAGATGAACACTTCTATCTTCAACTTTGACTTCTTGGATATGTTCCTTGGTTGAATGAGCTGCCTCAGTAATTTCTCCTATAGAAGATACATTTATAGATTTAAACTTTGGTCAAATTTTGAAAACAAAAGAACCAAATGTCATCTCCTAATCATTACTTTTCCTATGTAGATACTGCTGCCAACTATTTAATGAATATTTAGTATCTTATATGCAGATGTTATAGATGCAAATTTAAGAATTAAATCACACCAGTTCTTAAGTTTACAATTCCATGAAAGAAACACAGCTAAAAACAACTACCTATAAAATGAGATAAATCCTATAAAGGAAGTATGAACAAAAGGTTCTCAGAACCTATACGAAGGAACTAATTTTGCTTATGGTATAGGGAGAGAGCTAGGGAAATTTTCAAAAGTAACATTTAGACTGGATCTTGAAAAATGAGTATTTGAGATCAAAGATGACAATCTTGTAACAGAACAAAAGGAAATTAAACTAACTTGAAGAATCTGTGTTTTCAAAATTCAGGGAAAGGAGCAAGGTAGAGTGTGGGAGGTGGTGACTAGCTGAGAGAAGACAGGGACTAGATTAAAATGAATTTGATTTGCAAGTTTGGGGGAAAAAATGGAGACATAAGCTCTGGTTCATATAAAGAATAGGGACAATCCATGATCCTATAAAGTTGTTAAAATAGCTGAAGGTTAACAGGTTAAGATAGGAAGGAAAGGCTAAATATGAAAATCTGAGACTGGACAAAATGAACAGATGAATACAGAGCTTTGTCGGAATGTCTGTACATGTGTAATATGGATAGCTATTCTGGAATTTCTGCTAAGGAGCCAATGTCAGGAGGATTTTTTCTTTTTCCTTTCTTTTTTGGAGAGAAAGGGAAGGTGGGAATGAGAAAGGAGTGAGGGAAGACAAAGTTAAAAATAAAACATATTAGACTTGAAATTAGGATCATACTATATAGCCTTGGCTAGTCTCAAACTCAAGAGAACTGTCTGTCTCTGCCTCCTGAGTGCTGGGATTAAAGGCTTGCACCACCATGCCCAGCTTGTGCTGTCTGTCTCTGTCTCTCTCTGTTACTAGCATACCCCAATAGAAATATGACCTATGTTAATATACATTAACATATTAACATCAATGAAAAGTTATTTTTAATCTTTTTTAAAACAACATTTTATCACTTCTATTTTATGTGCACGAGTGTACTGCCTACATGTACATGAGTGTACCCGTGTTGTGCAATGCTGTGGAGGTCAAAAGAGGGCTTCGTCCCTATCTTTCATATAATCAAAACCTTATATAACAGTTGATTTAGAATTTTAGTATGATCGTTGGTTTTATTTAAAGTTTTGCTCTTGACCTAGATCTCTAAAATTTAAATTAGTTTTGTATACTAAAAATAAAGAGCATTTTTCTGGAAGGTAATTTGCCAACACAGATCACAAGCCTTAAAGAAATGACTTTTCACCAGGCAAGGTAGCACATGTCTTTGATTCCAGCACTAAGTTTGAATTCTAGTCCAGCCAGTGATACATAGTAAAACCCTGTCTCAAAAAAAAAAAAAAAAAAAAAAAGGTAACCTTTTAAGTGCAGTGGTATATACCTATAGTACCAACTATTTAAGAAGAGGATCATTTGAGCCCAGCAATTTAAGACCAGTTTGGGTAACTTAATCCCAGTTTAAAGAAACAAAATGGGGGGGGGGTGTAGTTAAAACTATTTGATCTTCTTAAAATCATCAGAGAAAGTAACTTGAAACAGGCACACAGTATGTAAAATGGATCTTGGTGACTGGATGATTTAGACAATTAGAAATAATTTTTCTGAGGCTGGTGAGATGACTCAGTGGGTAGGTAGGTAAAGGCACTTGTCTCCAAGCCTGACAACCTGAGTTTGATCCTTCCTTGAATCCATATGGTAGAAAGCAACCTGACTGCCATAAGCTGTCCTCTGATCTCTGCATATGCACACATATACACACACATGCAAATACAAACACACACACACCAAAAAATGTAATAGAAATTAAACAAATTAATCTGCATTTCTATTTAGTGATTTTCTTCTCCTACCTTCCTACCTACCTACCTACCTACCTACCTACCTACCTACCTAATGTTGATGGATAAAGTTTAATGAGCTTACTAGGTGTCACAGACTATAATATGTGCTTTAGGTAATTATTTCATTCAGTGTCCCCGATAATCTCCATTTTATAGTTAAAAAATTTTGTTGCTTCTTTTTTCTAAAGTCATAGTGACTGGTACAGTTGAAATTTAAATCTAGAAAATGTTTTATTTATATACTGACATGTAATGAATTACATGTATTATTCTCAGAATATTCTTGTTATCTTGCTACATAACCAAGGTTGGCTTCAAATTTATACTCCTGCTTCACCCTCCAATGGTGTTGGGATTACAGGCATTGACTACCATGCACAAACTCTTGAATGAGCTTTTCTTTTTTAAAAAATATTTATTATTTTTATGTGTACAAGTGTATTGCCTGCATGTGAGTGCACCCTTGTAGTGCAATGCCGCGGGAGATCAGAAGAGGGCTTCGGAGTCCCCTGGAACTGGAGTTAACGACGGTTCGTAGCCGCCATGTGGGTGCTGGGAATCGATCCTGGGTCCTCTGAAAGAGCAGTCAGTGCTCTTAACTGCTGAGCCATCTCTCCAGCCCTTCTTCCTTTTTTTCAATAGCATAAATTGCTCATTAAATGTTTGCAATTTTCAAACTTTCCCCGCATAGAAACTTTTCTAGAACACAGAACGTATCATATAACTGGTAAAAAGGTCTTAAGAGATTAATCAAACTACATCATTAAAAAAAAAAAATTGGGGAAGAGGTGATGAAGAGATGGCCTGGCCTAGCAGTTAAGAGCTGCTCTTGCAGAGGACCTGGGTTCAGTTCCCAGCACTCATATGGCAGCTAATAACTGTCTGTTCTAACTCTAGTTCCAAGGATATTGATACCCTTTTCTGGACTCCGTGGACATTGCACAACACAGGTACACTTAAATACATGCAGGCAAAACACCCATACACATAAAATAAGTAAATAAACAAAACTTAAAGAAATTGTAGAGCTGGAGAGATGGTTCAATGCCTAAAAGAATTGTCTGCTGTTGCAAAAGACCCAGGTTTGGTTCCCAGCACCCATATGGCAGCTAATAACCATCTGTAACTCCAATTCCAGGGGATCAAATACCTTCTCTGGAGTCTGGGGACAGTGCTTGCATGTGGTACACTTACATATATTTAAGCAAAACACTCATACACATTAACAAACAAAACAAAACTGTGGTGCTGGTGATTAAACCCATTTGCTAGGCTGAGGCAATGCCAGGCAAGCACTGTTACAGCTCAACGTACCAGAAACAAGTACCAGAGGCAGAGTGGCAAATCAGCAAACTATTTGTGCTGGCACAAAGTCTAAGCTCTGATCCAGTTTCTTGCATTTATAGGCAACTCAAGACCCATTCTGACATTGGTGGCTTAAAATTCTTTGCTTACATGACCACAAGTCAGGCACTAGAGTTTGTAGCACTTATGACTAGAGGCTATGTGTGAGTCTCTAGCTGTTAAGTATATTTACATAGGCAGAAGCAATAAAGCTGACATGGCCCTTTCATAGGCAGTTTCTTTTACTTTTTGTGCTCTTTTACTGCCAGAGACAAGTACCAGCTCTAGTTTTCCATCTCATTCCTCCCTCTGATGTCCTTTTAACTTGTCTAGAGGGTATCACCTTCCTCTGCATCTTCCATGCTAAGTTGGTAGTTTAGGGGAAACATAGGTAGGTAGGTTGTAGTCCTGCATTCTATGGCTAAATCTGAGTCCTGACTACAGAGGTTAGCAAGGGATGATTTGACATCCTATACACAAAACCTTGACTGCCCTGTGAGGGTCTTAAAGCCTCTGATCCAAGGAAACAAACTTCCAAGTAGCTCATCTGGGGTCTATCCCTTCCTGGTCTGAACTGGGACATGGGCCACTTCTTGTATGCTTTTGATAATCCTTTTTCATCTAGTTGAGGACAACAGTTGATTAAATTAAAATTTCCATATATCCCTCTGTCTTAGTTTGTTCTTCATTGCTGTGACAAAATACTCTGACCAATACCAACTTGGGGAGGAAAGGGTTTATTCAGCTTACATCTCCCAGGTTGCAGTTCATCAGGGAGCCCAAGGTAGGAACTTGGCAGGAACCTGGAAGCAGGAGCTGGAGCACAGGCCATGGAGGAATGCTGCTTACTGGTTTGATCCCCTGGCCCCTGCTCAGCCTGCTTTCTTATGCAACACAGGCCCACCTGCCCAGGGGTGGCACCACCCACAGTGGGCTGGGCCCTCCCACATCACTCAGTAATCAAGAAGATGCCCCTCAGACATGGCCACAGGCCAGTCCAATAGAGGCAATTCCCCAATTGAGGTTCCCTCAACCCAGGTGTGTCAAGTTGACACTAAAGCTATCCAGCACACCCTTCTTCCTTCACCATTACAAACAGTCCAAAGTTAGCCTATTCTGGTAAATGGTACTTCAGATCTTGATGTGGTGTTTCATCATCAAGTGCCTGAGCAGTGTCATTGTCATTACAATTATGATCTCTAGGACAGCCTGCAAAAGAATTGTGATTCAGCATGGAAAGGAAAGTCCTGTAACCCAATGAGCTGTCCTCTGTACAAGTGGCAGGCCTGTAACACTGAACTATTCTTTTGGATGACCATTTATCATCTTTCCAATTTCCTATCTGTAAGGTGTGTGTGTGTGTGTGTGTGTGTGTCCATCTTTCTTCTAATTAGTGTATTTTTCAGGGCCATGTGTCCCAGGCACTCTTATCGTGCTTTAAGAAGACCTAATAGTTCTCAGGACACACACTCCTGACCAGCAACTTGGCAGTATGGAATTAGCATTAGCCGTGAAATGTGGCCACACACCCAACAGATTCCTCAGGCACTGCAAAAGGAAAGGGCCAGGGGACAGGCCAGCCCATATTTGGTGTATCTGACCCCAGGTACAGCTTTGGGTCACCAAGTCATTTTCTGATGAAAATGAAATTTTAATTTAATCAACTGTTGTCTTCAACCATTCCTCTTTTCCTAGGGAGTAGTTAAAAAAGGTCTGCCTGGTGCAGATAAAATTGCGTTCTGAGACAGTGAAATTTACTACCCATCTGGCTAGACATCTTTTCCCAATAATGATGTTGTTAGAATGTGGGGTTTCTATTAACTTTATGTGAAGGGGTTGGGTCTCTGACTGGGTCCCATAGCCATTTGTCCTCCATTGTGATTCCTCCACACACATAACAGAAGCTTACATTTACAGTGTATGGGCTACTGTTTCTGTCATTTCTTTCTTTCTTTCTTTCTTTCTTTCTTTCTTTCTTTCTTTCTTTTAAAACAAACAAACAAACAAACAAACAAACACAGTCTGGGGCAACTCTCATTGACTTCATGGAGAGTAACACCTGGAAAGTTTGGGCCTGTCTTGTCTGTTTAACCTTTTGACAAGTAAGACAACTCATCACCTCTACCATCAATACACACACCGATTCAGTGGCCTTCATCACACTTCAGGACCCCTGGGTTTAGGATGGAAAAGTTAATGGGATTACAGGCTCCTCATGCATAGCTGGATGTAGCAATCCCTTCCTGGAGGACTGCTGATGCATCTCCTTTCTACCAAGTAACCCATGTAACACAGCTTCAATAAGGGTAGAAGTCAAGGCCTCAATCTCTGCCACATCGTTACCATATAGTATCTTCTTTACACACACATTTGTCATTGAGTCTGTATTTTTGTTCCTAAAATAAGCTACCACGTGAAAACTATTCCCAGAAGGACCTATCTACTACCTTATATGCATCAAAGGTCAGTGCCTTGAGTTGACCTGGATTAAGGACTTGGGCTGAGGTTCTCCAGACTTTTGGCCATTCTTCAATTAGGGAACTGTGGGTCAAGACAAATTGGTCTTGCCCCAGTTTCTATGCTGCCTCTCCGCAGATGGAATAGGTGGTCTTGTCATGGGTACAGGTTCCTTGGATCTCTCTGCAGCATGAAAAATGGGTGTACTGGATTAGTGTTGGGGTGACCCTTCCTCCATGTGGGTAGAGCACAGGCACTAGTTACACTCCAGGGAATCTTGGGTCAGACCTTTTCAGTTCTGGTGGGATATGCCTCTAACCCATTGAGAAACCTATAATGATCAGAAGGTACTTATAGCCTCTGCTAAGTGATAGTTCAGTAAAGTACTTCCACATCTTCAAACAAGCTTTGCTCAGTTCTTTATACCCCAGTGGCTAGGAGGATCTTTGTTCAGCATTGTTGCAGGAACAAGTTTAGCATCTTCAGATTACAATTCTGTAGAGTAGAAAATCTGGCCAGTGATACTGGTTTATTGGGTTATTCCCATATGGGTATCCTCAGGAAGCTGATGATCATGAGATGAGCTGGGTAATCTGGGGCAAAGGGGCCTCTCTCAGTAAAGGAGCCACCATCCACTTGAATTCTTGGTTCCTTTCCCTTGTCTCATCCAGGCATTCCCTTCACATGTGCAGTTCAGGTGCCTGGGTAGGGCTGAAGTCATTGAGCTTTTGTTGGAGGAACCTATAGCACCTTTATTGTTGATGCTTTTCCTGGTTCCTTTGATTGTGGTTTTCTTTGTGGTATCCTTGGCAGTGGATGATGGCCATGGCCACTAGGCCCCAAACTGCTTCTAGAGGGCGTAGGAATTTGATTTTCTATTGCTTTACCTCCTGAGAAGTCCCCTTTTCTTATAGAGGGCACCACACATAGGGAGGATGGTAAGGGTGTATCTCAAGTCTATGTAGGTGTTTACCATTGTCAACTCCAGGGCCTGATTAGGGATAACAGAGCTAACAGTTCTGCCTGTTGAACTGACCATCCCATTGGGAAGGCTTCTGACTCCCTTACTTCTGTCTTTGTTAACCACCACATATCCTGCCAGATACTGCCCATTTGACAGAGAGCTGCTGCTATCAGTATGTTTGGTCCGAGAAGAATAAAGGCTGATCTGTGAGGTCTGGGAGACTCAAATATATTTCATAGGTTGTTTCAATGCAATCATGGTCTGGAGGCCTCAACTCAGCAGGTAAGGAAATGGCAGGACTTATGTTTTGACTGTTTCCAGGTATACTCAGGGGGTTCTGCATAGGAAACTCTGGTATTGGCTCAGAGGTGGGTTGTTGAGCTAGTGGTGCCCCCAGTGGTCCATCAAAGGCATGACTGCATGTGGGCCCATGAGATTTAGGGATGTCTTATAGTTTGCTGGTCTCCTTGGCCTCGTATCCACAGCCAGAACGGTCATCCAGCAGCCACCTCTTCTAGCAGTTTGGACAAATATGCCACAGGGTATTGCCAGGACCCTACAAACTGGGTTAAGACTCCAAACGACATTCCTCTTCTCTCCTAGATAAACAGGTTAGGTTAAAGTCTTGGGTAACATCAGGAAGTCCCAAGACCAGTACTTCCAGCAGGACCTTCTTCAGAGTTAGGAAAGTGTCTTGTTATTCAAATGATTCCTTTTCTCCCCCATTTCTCGCTTCATAGAGGGGTTTGACTATCAGCGCATAACTAAATATCCAGATGAGACAAGTTGGCTGTCTCTAGAAATTCTAGGGTTGGTCTCTAGGTCTTTAGGATTGGGAGGGCCCAAACTGCCCTTTTTTGTTTGGGCACCGAGACCCTATGCCCTTTTCAGATCTGAAACCCAAGTATTTAACTTCTTTTTGACAGATTTAGGCCTTCTTGAAGGATATCCTATATCCAGTCCCTTGGAACAGACTTAGTAGCATTTCTATTCCCTTTTTGCACTCTTCGAAGTTGCACTTGCCAGGAATAAATCATCCATGTATTGAAGGAGTGTACATTTCATTTCCGCTCTTGGAAAGTGTGCCAGATCACCTGCCAGGGGTTCCCCAAATATCCCTGACTACTAGTGCAGATCATTATTTGGGGGGACTAGGTCAACACAATTTGCAGCCAAGAATCTATATATGGAAAATGGTCTAGATAATTTGGTTCCCCAGTTATCTATTACCTGGTGTACTGACTTTACCTTGGTCACACCCAAAATTCCCGGGGGGTGGGGGTGGGGTGGGACGGGACTCCACATCAAGCTGGCCACTCTAATTTAGAGGGCTTTTAGTTTTTTCAGAGACATCCTGACACCATAATCTCCTTAATGCCCTTTCTTGAACTTTCTGATTATGCAGTGTAAGACAGTAGATGTTGAGGGGGATCCTTCCATGGTGTACCTTCCACTGTGTCAGTGTAGCAAAATAAAGACCTTGGGGTGAGCACTACCCTGGATAGAAAGGACTTTACCTAGACTCTCCCCTCACAGGGAATTAGATGACTATTAGCAGCATGGAACCCTGAATTGAATCAGTACTCATAGAAGGGAACTAGTTCCCAAGAGCCAGCAATGCAAATTAGCCATAAGAAGACATCATGGAATCACAGGATAGGGCCCAATCAGATTCAGTAGTCTCAGTGACTATGGGGGAATGGGAGGGGGGAGATATTGATTGCACCTTCTTTTGTACCAAATTCCAAACAGGAACCTCCCTGTGAGACTCTGAGGCAATTGTGAAAACTGCCAAAAGTGGATCAAACTCCCCTTCCACTGAGTTGGTGGGTCTGTCTAGCTGTGCTCCCCAGAAAGTCATGGCATTTCCTAAAGTATTGAGTGGCCGATCTACTCTCCCTGTCAGGTCTGTCAGACAGAATGCAGTCTGAAGGTTTTAGCCATGGCCTGTGGAATCTTGGATCCCTGGCAATTGTCATGCCTTCCAGTTCTCCTTGGCCATACCTGACCTCAAGCTGAGTTCCACAACTGGCAGCAGTTCAAAAAGGGCTGCCTTGAACAGGAAATTAAATTTCATGGGAGTTCAGTGCACAAGAGACAAGTACCACAGGCAGAGGGGAAAACTGGAAAACTTTATTTGTGCTGGCAGATTCAGGAGGAATCTCCAAAGCCTGAGTTCTAATGCACAGTTTCTTACATTTATAGGGTACTTGGCGCCATTCCAACCCATCCTAGCACTGGTGGGTTAAAATTCATTGCCTACATGACCATGACCATGGGCCATGACCAGAGGCTATATGTGGTAGTCTCTAGCTATAAGTATGTTTATATAGGCAGAAATAGTAAAGTTGAAATGGGCCTTTCATAGGCAGTGATTTCTTTACCAGATTGTGTTTTTATTGCCAGGGACAAGTACCAGCTCCAGCTTTCCATCTTATCATATTGAGCTTTATCATAAGCATTAAAATCCCTCATTTAAAGACAGAAAACTAAGTAAAACCCAGACAGAAACCTTTCATACTCAGTGACAAATATGGATTTTGAATTAGATTTAATTAAAGAAAATTATTTGGTGGGGCTGGAAGAGATGGCTTAGTGGGTAAGAGCACTGGCTGCTCTTGCAGTAAACCTGGGTTCAAATCCCAGCACCCATGTGGCAGCCAACAACCGTCTATAACTCCAGTTCCAGGGGATCCAAGACCCCCTTCTGTCCTCCTCAACCAGTGCACAACAGGGGTGCACTTACATACATACAGGCATAACACTCATACACATAAGAGTCTCATGCTCTATTGACTGAGCTAGCTGGGCTCATACACATAAAATAAAAACAAATAATTTTTTTAAAATTATTTTTGGTTTTTTGAGATAGGATCTCACTCTATATAGCCTAGGCTGGCCTGAACTCAAGATCTTCCTGCCTCAACAGCTGAAAGCCAGGATTACAAACTTGTATACCACAAGTTATTTCTTTTCTCTTTAAGACAGGGTCTCTGTATATCCCAGGCTGGCCCTGAACTAATAGCAAACCTCCCACATCAGCCTTCCAAAATTCCTAGGATTATAGGTGTATACTACTACCATGCCTGGCTTAAAAATTCTAAATATGTTTTTTAACCTAAATACAGAATTCTTAACCTTAGGCAAACAGATGTACATACAGAAGAACTTAACATTTTTTTAGAAAGTTGAATAAAAGAAAAACTAAATCTATAATGGGATTTTAATTAAATCACAATTTACTTAAAGGAAAACTTACCTAAAGTAGCTTTTTCTTGACTCTTCATTGTTAGGATATCTACAATTGTGTGTCGCATCTCTTCAATAGGCTTAATTTTTTTTAAAATGAAGAAAGCAGATCCATGTAAGTTTTACATTATCAGAAATTACATTATAGAAGTTGAAAATATTAGAACCAGTGATCAAAATTTCATATTTTAAAATAAGGCAGTGTGTTCTTAAACCATGCTTTCTAGAACATTTGTTATTAAGATTGAAAATAATAATTTTCAACTTAATAGAATAAAAAAGGGCACTCAAAGGACAGAATTTAATAATAAAACAAAAACTTCTAGGGCTGGAGATATTTTAGGGCTCAGTGGTTAAGGTGACTTGCACCCACATGATGGTTCACAATTGTCTGTAACTTCAGTTCCAGGGGACTCAATGCCCTCTTCTGGCCTCTGTGGGCATTGCACACATGTGGTGCACTTACATACAAAAACTCATCCATATAAAATGAAAATAAGGGGCTGGAGAGATGGCTCAGCGGTTAAGAGCACTGACTGCTCTTGCAGAGGACCCTGGTTTGATTCCCAGCACCCACATGGTGGCTGTGAACTATCCTTAACTCCAGTTCCAGGGGAATCCAAAGCCCTCTTCTGACCTCTGTAGCACTGTACGACACAGGTGCACTCACATACATACAGGCAATACACTCATACACTTAAAAAATCACTATTTTCTATTCAATAGCTGATTATATTATTTAACAAGCCCCTTCTCTTTTATATTTAAATCCTAGTTATATTTTGTTTCACATGTTATTAAATCCATCTCTGAACAGTTTTAGGTTGGTTAGTCCAATATGTTTCAATTGTTCAAATTTTACTGTTACCTACTAGCTATTAGAACACTATGTTCCTTAGTGTTGCTGTGCCTGCTAATATATTTATGACATGGAAGTCCTGGCTCATAGTTCTAGTTTGAGAATTAACTTCTAGATCCATTCTGCTTTCAATTTTCTTGGCCAATTTTGATTCTTGTTTCCCAATTTCTGCTACATTATCATCTCTTCTCCTTTGGTTCTCACTTCTACATCATTGCTACTGTGCCATAACCTATTTTAATGTCCCTTCTGGTCCATCAGAGTTAGGAAATGCATAGGAAGATATTTTGTGCTAAAACATTTCTCACAGAAAATTCCATTAAATTTATAGTCCAGCTTATATCAATTTTTTAAAGTACATAAATGAAAAGGTTTAGAAGGCTGAAAAACATGTATGATGCTGCCTTTGTAGCTTTCATTACTTCTGGTGCCAAACACTGAACCCAGGGTCTCCATGCTCTATGACTGCACTATACTTCCAAGTTCCCCTGTGGTCTTTAAATACCCATTTTTCTACATATACACCCCCCCCCAATTTTTATTTTATGTGTATGAGTGTTTTGCCTGCATGTACATAAGTGCACCTGTGTTGTACAATGCCCAGAGACCAGAAGAGGGCATCGGATCTCTTCAAACTGGAGTTTCAGAGGGTTGATAGCTGTTATGTGGGTGCTGGGAAACAAACCTGGGTCCTCTGCAAGAACAGTCAGTGCTCTTAACTGATGAGCCATCTTTCTAGCCCCCCCCATTTGTTTTTTAAGATTTACTATTTTATTTATGTGCACTTGTGTGTATGTGGCGGGGGGGGGGGGGTTACACAAGAGCACAATGCCCACAGAAACCAGAAGAGGGCATTGGATCCCCTGAACTGGAGTTATGGATTATTGTTAGTCACCATGTGGATAATGGGCACCAAACTTGGGTCCTCTGTAAGAGCAGCCAGTGCTCTTAACCACTAAGCCATCTCTCCAGCCCCAATAAACACAATTTTATCAAGTTAGATTATGATATGCTTCAAAATAACTGAATCATTTACACTGTGAAAAAAAAGATCAGTAAATTTTTATTTTACCTGAGCTCCTGCTAGAATGGCCTTCTCATAGATTGAGATAATATTTTCAATAGGACTTGTGATTGGTTCAATACGTACAAGACATATCCAATATTTAACAAGTTTTTTTGCATCTGGAATATTTTGTATCAGGTCATTCAATGTGCCTAAAATTTCTTCTTTGGGGCATCCCTAAAATACCAACAAAGTGTAAATTATGAATAATCAATTAGTATTACAATTGAGAACAGCAAGCAACAGAAAAAGTTGATAGAAAAATCATTCATAAAAAAATTCACTATTATCCTAACTTTTTTCTTGAGACAGGGTGTCTCACTATATATCCCTGGCTGGTCTTGAACTCACAGAGATCCACCTGCTTCTGCCTTCTGAATGCTAGGATTAAAGGTGTGTACCACCATGCCTGCCTTTCCCAACTTATTTTGACTAACTAATAAAAAGCATAGCATGAGAAGGCAACAAAACCCTGGAATACTAGCTGAGATACACAGATAAAAATCGACTAGCATTTTGGCTTTGATATTTATACTTCTATAAATTGTGGGATTCTGGGTTGAGGAGCTGGCTCAGTGGTTAAAGTGTCTGCTATGCAACTATGAGAACTGGAGTTCAGAGTCCTAGAACCCATGTGCATGCTAGGTGGGTGTGGTGGTCCACCTGTAATTCCAGTCTCCTCACAAAGCAGAGACAAGGGATCTCAGAGCAAGCTGCCTAGCAAGACTATCCATAACCTCAAGCTCTTGGTTTGACTGAGACCCTACTTCAATGAATAAGGCCAAAGACCAATTGTAGACGATTCCTGACATTAACCTTGGGCCCTACACATGCACATACACATGTACATTACATATACATTTAAAAAAATGAAAAAGAAAAAAATTCATTATGGGATTAATTTGCTAATACTTTCTTTAGAATTTTTACATGTAACAAAAGTTCATGTGTGAGAACAGTCTTTAGGGTTCTTTCCCCCTTAATTGTCCTTGCTGGGTTTTCATACTAAAATTAAAATAGTAATGCAGAAGTTATATACAAAGTAAACATCAGGGTAGAAAATTCCATACTATCAAAACAAAAAAGTCAATTGGGCAGAAATAAGAATAGCTTTTTAGTCCAAACATGATTAAGATGTATTGTATGAAATGCACAAAAATTCAAAAAAAGTTATATTGAAAAAAATTTGTTTTTTAATTTTGTGTTTATGGGTGCATGCATGTCAAGGCGCATTATGTGACAGTCAGAGGACAACTTATTGTAGTTTTCTCTCTACCACATGGGTTCCAGGGACTGAACTCAGGTTATTAGGCTTGGCAGCAGGTGCCTTTATCACCTCAGTGGTGCTCTGAACCACAAAAGGTTTAAAGATGCTTACGAAGGGAGGGTAAAGATGGCTCCAGAGTTAAGAACACTGGTTACTACTGCAGAGGACCAAGGTTCGAATAACACATGGTGGCTAACAGCTGCCTGTAACTCAAGTTCCAGGAGATTTAACACTCTCTTCTGGTCTCGATGGGCATTGTATGACATGAGTATAAATGCAGGTGAAATTCTCATACACAGAGAATCAAAATAAAAAAGCAATAAATAAGATATTCTGGAGTTAATTATATTCTACAAGATTTATATCCAACTAGCAAAATTTTATAATAAATTCAAGACTAGGATAATGTTAGTTTAGAGTAATAGGATTTTGCTTCAGAATGTTTCAGTTAACATGAACTGAATCTACAGTGATGACTCACACAATAAAGATTGCTAGTAACAGCTTATTGCTAGGTTTTAGTAAAATAGGTAAGTGGAGGAAATAATTGGTAAAAATGTTTGGCATATGTAAAACAATTATCAGAAGGGAAAAGTAAACATCTACCCAATCTCACTATTTATTAACATCTTAGAGGAATATAACTACTGCTATTATTTTTTTTCTTTATTTTTACTTTATAAGTGTCATATCTACATGTATGTAGGTATACCTGTGTTGTAAACCCTGCAGAAAACAGAAAAGGGTATCAGATCCCCTGGAACTGGAGTTATGGACAGTTGTTAGCAGCCACGTGGGTGCTGGGAATAGAGCCTGGGTCCTCTTCAAGGGCAGCCAGTGCTTTTAACCTCTGAGCCATCTCTCCAGCCCCATTTTCTTCTTCTTCTTTTTTTTTTTAAAGACAGGGACTTCTATATCCTAAGCTGGCCTCCAACTAACTATGTAGGCAAAAATGACCTTTAACTTCTGATCCACCTGCCTCTACTTCCCAGGTGCTAGGGTTATAAGCATGCACCACCATGTCAGGTTTATGGGGTGCTGGGGTTTGATTATATGCACTCTGGGCAACTTTCCACTAGCTGAGCTATGTTCTCAGTTCATAATGAGAAACTAGTAAAAAAACTCATTGACCCTACTAACCCTTGAAATATTTATATGAAATTCAATAAAAAATGCAGTTAATTCAAGACTAACAATCTCACATTAGGTCATCATAACATCTGATATTACTTGGTTAAGAAGAATGACAATATAGCTTAATTCTCAGTAAGTTACATATAAGGTATATTGTTCATGTATTTATTAAGGCAATTTCTAAGCTATTAAATGTACAAAGATAAAGACTCTACCTTATTAATCAGGTTCAGACATTCAGAAAATGTTTTGTTTACTTTTTCAGTAAATAATCTTTGTTCATCTTCTTCTGCCATGGTAGTCCAAAAGGACCCAACTGGTTTTTCATTCTGTCCTTCTGGCTCAGGCTGGGCAACTATTGAATTGGGAGGCCTTTTCAGTATTCTTCCTTTGCTAGCTCTCCAATCATTCAGACGTGCTCTACAGACAGAAGAAGTATATACACATTACTTTGATTTTGATGACAGAACTCTACTAAATGGAGTAGTTAAAAATAATTCAAGTCTTTAAGTAGTTCTAAACTAGTGGCACTTAAGAGTGTATTTGTTTGCAGGAATGAAATCTTGAACACAATAAAATCAAATATATGTTTAAAGAACCCAAGAATGGGGGCTGCAGAGATGGCTTGGCAGTTAAGAGCACTGGCTTAAGCAGTTAGTGTTCCTGCAGAGGATCTGATTTGGTTCCCAGCACCTCCATCAGGCAGTTCATAACCAGCTGTAACTCCAGTTCCAGATCTGATGACCCTCTGATCTCTGCAGTTACCTGCATGCACATGGTAAACATAAACTCACACAGGAACATATACATCACATAAATAAAAACAACAAATCTTAAGAAAAACCCTAAAGCATGCATTTTTAAACGAAGGGGTTATCAAAAGCAAGCAGCAAGCCACTTAACTTTGGGGTCATATTGTTACATACATAAATCTACCTGCATGACAAATCAATAAAAGAAATTCTAATACATTCAAGGAAATCACAAGCAAAACTCACAAATGGTGCTCTATTGAAAATTAATAAAATAAAATAAATTGCACATACTCACTTTCTCTCTTCTGTGGTTTCTTTGGGCTGGAATGATTTATCAATAGTTGCTCTTGCTATAGTATATCTGCGCTGGTCAACAGTTTTTGACTTCTCTACCAGTTTGGTATTGGAAGATGAATCAGTACTGGCTACAGCTTCAGGTATGCCTTTTGATAGTGCTTTATTTCTTTTTATGTCCTGAGAAGAACTGGTTTTGATAATAGATGAAGTCGTCTTTGATCGTAATAATTCTTTTTCATGAGGTCCTTTTCTGATTGTAACGCTGGCAGAGGTCCTGCTGAGGCCTCGTTTCATGGTGCCCTGAGTGTTATTGTGACTTCTAACAGGTGGCTGAACAAGCGTGCTCTTCAATGCAGTGCTCACTGATTTATTGCTTATAGATTTGGTGACAGCAGTCATATTTGGGGCCCTAACACTGCTGGTGTTTACAGGCTTTGTGGCTTTAGAGAAAGTAGTAGTTAAAGGTTTCTCTGTTGTTGCAGAATTCTCATTTTTGACTTGTGGAGGCTTTCTAAATGAATTAATCTTAGACTGAACAATCTGCCCACGGTAACACCCAAGAACGGGTTTTGGGGGCATGTTAGCATCTTGCTTTGGTTTTTCTGCAGTTACTTGCTTCTTTTTATTAGTATTTTTAAGGTGAAATGCCTGGCTTAATGTCATATTTTGACTTTGGAAATCATTTTTAATTGGTAATAACTGCATACTTTGATCATCCTCAAAATTATGCACTTCTGAAGTGGTTAACTCATTAGTAGGTTTCAAAGGACTACAGTCTTTTTCTATTGTCTTATTTTTGCTCTCTGTAGGTCTTTCAATATTTTCTTTATCAGCCTAGAAGAGTTAACAGAAATTAGTATTTCAGAACTCACTTCTTTCAGAAAGAGTATAGGAAAGGTCTATGAATGCTTTGCATGTATCTTACCATTTTTGTTTTGAGTTTCAGAACTTTTTTCCCTTCTTGAAACTGATCTTCAGATGTCATCACTTTCTGGCCTCTATTAGTTAAAAATTTTTAAATAAATTAGTTTTGTACTAAGGAGGTCTCCTTTCAGGGGGAAGGAATGGAGGAATATTAACAGCTAATGAATTTCATAGCTTGTGTGTGTGTTGCTGGGTATCAAATCCAGGGCCCTGTACATGCTATGTAAATTCTCTACCACTGAGCTATATCCAAGGTCCCATAATCTAAAATTTTTAATTGAGGAAAGAACTGGGTTAAGATGTATTTATCCTAAGCAAAACTTTTAGTGATTCAATGGGGTAATAAACAAGATGGGGTAAGGCAATCTCTTAGCAGGTGATACCAATTTTGTATATAGGAAAAAAAAAATACTGTCAACTAGACCTGAATTCTAAACCAGATTCCCAAATTCAGAGATTATGTTAAAATGTGAAAAATTGTACTGGTAAAACTAAATCTAGTATTTTTATAGCTAATAAAACTTTAAATTTCTGGGGTTGGAGAGATGGTTCAGCGGTTAAGAGCTCTGGCTGCTCTTGCAGAGGACTCGAGTTTGATTCCCAGCACCCACATGGTGGCTAACAACCATCCAGTTCCAGGGGATCTGACACCCTCTTCTGACCTATGGAGGCACTGCATGATATGGATGCCCTTACACATGCAAGTGATACACATAAAATAAAGATAATAAATAAAATACAACTGCAGAGTTTGAATATCAACCTCAAAAGCATGTTTTCATTGCATGAGGTCTACCTACATGGAGGACCATCTGCTGTTCTCAAGGCCTATTGATTTAACCATTAACCACATCCAAAAGATTCCTTTACTGCAACATCGAGGTAACTGTCTGACCAAATAACTGGGCATACAGACTACTAAACACATGCAATTATCCATCAGTTGTATTCATGTAAAGCACACAACCTCAGTCATAAAAACTGTGCCTTCACTTACCAATTTAGGAATTTATTCATGATCACATGGTCAATGACTTAACAATTTTCTACTTAGGTTTTATACATATTAAAATGTTTTGCTGTATCTCAGAAGATGCTAGAGACTAAAATATGCATCACCTGTTTAAAAGAATAATGTATTCAATTGGTCTAATGCAGAGAGTGTCTATGAGACACTTAATCCTAAGTGATACCTCTTCAATACAACCTCTACACATAAGATGAATGCATCTTACAACTCTCACCAGAGAAGTTTCCTTATGCAGCAGATGGTGATTTAACACAGAATCCCACAACTGGCCAAGGTGCAGAAAATAAGAGGTTGCAGAGCACTTATCCCTGAATAGGACATCTATTTCAAACTTCTGCCTCCCAAGGCTCAGGGATCATTGCAGAAGAGGAGGCACATTGTAAGAGCCAGAGGTGGTGGATGACCACAAAGAGAGAGCTTTCCAGATAGCTGGTGAGTTACTCATATGAACTCACAGCAATGGTGAAGGCACGCACAAGTCCCATGCAAGCTCAAAAACAAAATCCCAGCACAGACATGGGGAAGTAGGTAAGAAATCCCAACCCAATGTTAGAAAATTTTTGGCAACTGATGGCTGCTAGGAGGGGGAGAGACAGTCTCTCACAGGAATGGTACAATCATAGGATTGGTAGGTTAGCCAGGCTCCAGTGGACAGACCCACACTGAAGGACATTTGGGTACCCAAATCAGGCTTTATAGGCCATACTGTGTATATATATAATAAGAGTACATTAAATTGGGAGGGGAGGGTGCACTAAGGGGAGGTGTGGATAGGGATGTAAATACCATGAAGTTACACTGAATGAAAATTGCAAAATTCAACAAAACATTTTTTAAAGGCATTCATCATGTGAAAAAACATGTATTTTTTTTATTGTAGCTGAAATGGCAATTCATAAGATTTTGAAGGAACATACATTTTTGTACTCAATTTTTACTTTTTATATCTATTTGCTTGGTCAGTTTAAAAGGGACAAAACTTTTTAAAAAAATCTCATTGTTACTTATTATGGGCTGGATAGATGGCTCATTGGTTAAGAGCACATACTACTTTTCTGGAGGACCTGAGTTCAATTCCCAGCAACCACATTGGGCAGCTCACAACCACTTGTAACTCTAACTCTCAGGGATCCAACACAGATGGATTCTGCAGGTACCTACACTCAAGGTGCATGTTACACACACACACAAACACACAAAAATCATAGTTATGTATTTTGTGTATGTGGGAAGGAAGGCACTGCAAGAAAACTTGTAGGAGTCAGTACTCTCTTCCACCATGTGAGTCCTGGGGAATCAAACTCATGTCAAAAGGTGGCTTTACCTGCGCTAAGCCATCGCACTGCCCCAAGGACAGAACTTTGATATAGTTTGTACTACATATTTTCAACAAAGAAGAGTCAAGGGACCTTTAACTTTCTGCTTTTATATACTACCATGGTTATTTGGTTTTGCCATAACCAGGCACTAAGCAAAATAATATAAAGATATTTCTCCTAGGAACTGAGACAAAAACAAATCTCCAAATATCTGAGGGCTACCTATACTCCCTAAAGAACACTTTCCCCATACACTGAGAACGTGAGTCTTGCTAAGGGGCTGGCATACAGGGTCAAGTATAGAGTTAACATTTAAGAGTCCTGGGTTCAATCCACAGAACAAAACCAAAGCCAAGCCTTACTAAAATTATAACACTCAGTTTTAGCCAGATGCATTGGCACCAACATGTGATCTCAGCATTTGGAAGCAGAAGGATCGCAAGTTTGAGGCCAGATTGGCTATAGAGGGACTCTGTTTCAAAACAAAACAAAACAAAGCAAAACACTGGCTTTTACAGCACAATACAGATCCTTCGTCAATGTTTCAGTACACATACACACATTTTACTTTAAAATTGTTTCCCCCTGGACCAGATGGCTCAGCGGATGGGGATGTTTGTAACCAAGTCTGTTAACTGAGTTTGATCCCCAAAGCCCACATGGTCCAAGAAGAGAACCAACTCTGGAAGGTTACTCTGGCCTGTCTGCTCATATGTGCACACATACACCCTAGCCCCCCAAAAACACACAGAATAAATGTAAAAATAAAGAATTTTAAGTTGTTTCCCTTTAAGAGTTTAAACATACATAGAAAATGATGATTTAGTTCACCATCCAAATAAAGTTAACTATTAGTACAAATTGTGGAAAGCATAAAGCACACACCAGATCTTAGACTGTACCGAAAGAGGTGAAGTATCTACTTTTTCTCTTGTAGTACTGGGTGGTAGCGAGCGCTCTGCCACTGAATGCACCTTCAGCCGGCTCCATACTTCTGTTTTTTCCTAATACTTTTAAATATCAGATATTGAAATAATACTATCAAGAATCATCATTGTATTAAGTTATTAAATTCATTTCATCTTTTAACTTACATGAGATTACTAGAAAGTTTTCAGTTACAAATGTGGCATATATTAGGTTTTTACTGGACAACTCTAATGTTCCAGAACTGAAATAAATTTGACCTCACCTGGCTATCTGATTTTCCTGTTCGAATGCAAACATTGTTTTCCCTCTTAACAGATGTTCCTTCAGTTTTTGCTTTCTTTGCTCTAAATAAGAGGAAAGAGCAACAAGTCAACTTTAGTTAAAACATCAATATGCAGTTAAAACATCAAGTTAAATGACTATTTTACTTGGAAAACTTTTACTTGATGTTAAGGTTCAGATAGCCCCGCCCCCTCACCGACAGGGCCTCAGAAGCCCCTGAGAAAAGGGAACTGAGTTGATAAGCACCCTGGTCTTCGAAGTCAAGAGAAGCAGACTTTTCTCCACTGTTTGGCCAGCACAGCAGGCTTCCCCTTTGATCTCTAAAGAGGGCAGGTTTTAACAGTCCTGCTCTCCTGCTGCCCCCCAACTTAAAAAAAAAAAAAAATCTTCCCGCCTTCTGCACCCTGCCCAGAAGCCTCCCCCTTTAAAAGACCCCAGCTCACGACCGGGGCAGACATTTTCCCTGCACGGAAGGGAATCTGTCCCATGTGTTCTTTGCTAATAAACTCCATCAGAGTTTTATCTGTGTCCTGGTGCTTTCTCCAGACCAACCAGATTCATCCATAGGCTACTTTATCTATCACTTGAGATATTTCCTATATAACAGAAAACTTCTCAACCTTGTATTGCCTTTGAGAAATAATCTCTTTAATCAGAGATCAGAACCATAAAAGGTCCTCACAACTGCACTGCACAAGAATACATGCTCTAGGCTAAGGTTAAAGCCTAGAGCACTTGCCTAGAATGCACAAGGTCCTGGGTTTGATCCCCAGCACCATCACCAAATTAAAAAAAAAAATTATACTTTTTATTGCGTGTGACAATTTTTGAGAACATCTCACTTTAATATATGGTTACAAAAAATCTTTAAGAAACAGGTGGTAGAGATAACACTCACTAAATTCTGACCAACTTAGAATCAAGTTGGATGAAAATTACTCCCCCTAATGTTTCCCTTATTTCTGCACACCATTCAATTTCAGCTTTCCAAAAAGTTCAAGTTGGAGAGGGTTAAATCGGAAATACCAGATCAGGAAACGCCCCCCATCCCACCCTCCACACCCTAGTTGGATCTGAGCAGGGCAGGAGAGACCACTGCGCAGGCGCAGTCTATGTGCTTCGCAGCCCTGCCCTCTGATGACCCGGACCCCCTCGGACCATCCGGGTCAGAGTCGCGCACCGACCCCAGGGCTAAACCGACACCTCGGCCATAGGGCAACTTCCGCAGGGAGCTAAGTCCGGCCAGCGGCGGCCATGCAGGATGCAACCGGCCTGGGCGCAGCGCTCTGACGGCGGCTCCTCGGTGCCCGCTCCGCTCCGCTCCGCGCGAGGCCTGGCGGCCAGCGGGCACCACACAGAAGCAGGCGCCCAGGCCCGCGCCGCTCACCTCTGAACGCCGGCTGGGTTCTCTGGGTCGGGGGCAGCTGCAGGTCCCGCGGCACGGTCGAGGTGCTCATCACAGGCCGAGCTCGGGGCGCGTCTCTCTGAGCCTCAGGCACCACGGACCGGTTCGGACGCCCGCCGCCTCCAACTGCGTACGCCGCCGCGGGCTCCGGCTTCAATACTGCCGCCCCGCCACTCATTGGCGCCTGCCTGGGTTGAATGGACCAATGAGCACAGAGGGGCGGAGCCTGGACTGCGGTTCCTGGGTTCCGTTAGGGCTGTGCCTGGATTTCAAAATCCAGCAAGGCGCTTCAGACTGGAGGGATGTCCGGGGAGGAGTAGGCTTGCTGCATCCTCAGGGTGTAGCGTGGACATGTCAGGACAAGCCTCGGACACAGCCTTGGGTAAGGCAGGATTGAAAAGAGAAGGCTGCGCCTTTCAAACTTTTTAGCGCTCACTGAGGAAACAGCTTGGAACTTCCGTACCCAGGACATATTCAACAAATAACTCATTTTGAGCTGCGTAACTCTGAAGTGGGTCGTGATTCTGTTTTGCAAATGAGATGACAAGCTCAGAAGTTGGGTGTCCACGTTCGCACAGCTTGCAAACACCTGAAATTGAAATTACTTTCCATGCTATTGTTATTTTATCAAAAATCCTGCTATGTAGCCCAGGCTGGCCTTAAACCCATGATCTTCCTTTTTTGGCCTCCTGAGTGCTAAGAGGACAGGTGTGTGCTTGGCCCTTTCCATACAACACCAAAAAGAGAAAGGGTTAAAATGAGGGTGTTCCTTTCTGTTCTCCCAAAGCTGTTAGAGACATTTTCTCTGTTTGTGCATTTAGGTGGGCTAACATAATCTTTCAGTCTTGTTATCCAAACCTGTCACCTATATAAACCCAGACAAACTGGGAGTGGTGGCACACACTTGTAATCCCAGCCCTCAGGAGGATGGGGAGTTTGAGGCTAGCTACATAACACATTATCTAAATGAACAAAAACAAACCAAACTTAAAAACCAACCTAGTCACAAAATGTACCCAAATAATTTAAAGCCAGGAGGCTTTAGAGGTAGAAGTGGGGGAACTAGGGAGAGTTTACACTGTGCCTTTCTGGTTCACAGATAACTTCTCCCCTGTCTGGTTGCTATGGTAAGGCTGAACTGGTCTGCCAGTCTTTTTTTTTTTTTAATATTTTATTATTTTTAAGTGTATGCCTTTATTGACTGCATGTAGGTAAGTGCACCTGTGTTGTGCAATGCCCACAGAGGACAGAGGCTGTTGGATCCCTTGGAGCTGGAGTTACGGACAGTTGTTAGCTGCCATGTGGGTGCTGGGATTCAAACCCTGGTCTTCTGTAATAACAGCCAGTGTTCCTAACTGCTGAGCCATCTCTCCAGCCCCACCCAGTCAGTTTTTTAGTATGTGGACAGAGGCAGGAGGAGGGTATTTCCACTTTCTACTGCCCAGGCCTGAGAGGGGCCACAGCCAGCTCTTGGCTGTGGTCACCTCATCTCCCATTTGTCTGCTTTTTAATTCAGACTTTTGCTAATGAATTTTTTTGTTCCAGTGCTGGGGATGGAACTCAGAGCCTTGTTCAAGTGCTTTACAAATGAGATACATTCCCACTCTCCTGTAGGGATTTTTGTTTTTAAAACCTGATTTACTATCCTATTTTAACTTTATCCACTTTGGGGAAGCAACAGCCTGTCGGCACCTACTACTATTCTTAAAGACATCACTGCTAGTTTACACACTACTGCAATATGATTGACTGCTAAAATTTCATTGGGCAGTTAATTTGGAGGCTGGACAGATAGCTGTCAGTAAGGTGCTCCCCTCATAAGGATGAGGACCTGAGTTTTGATCCCTAGAACCCACATAAAAGCATGTGCCCACATACATGCAAATAGGTAATTTTATATTATGTAAATATACTTTAATAGCTTTTTAAGTCGCTATGATAAAAGAGAGGAAAATAAAATTACTAAAAGAGAAAAACACCAAAAAGCAAAATAAAACAAAAACAGTGGCACTCTGAATAGGCTGAGATATTAAGTAGAAAACCTTCAAGACGACAGTAATAGTTTTCAACATGGCTAGCACAGCAATTTCTCCCTAATTTCCAAATGTACCCACTCCAGGAAGAATTTATTTTTGAAAAATGTTTTTCTTTGTGGTGTTTTTGAGACAGGGTCTCCCTGTAGCCCTAGCTGGCCTGGAACTCACTATGTAGACCAGACTGGCCCTGAACTCACAGAGATCTCCTACCTCTGCCTCCCGAGTGCTGGGATTAAAGGTGTGGACTGCCATGCCTGGCAGAAGAATATATTTTTAAAGACAGACAGACAGACCATACACACACAGAGAGACTCTATAAGTATTAGGAGGAGGAAGACAGATTCTTTTCCAAAACATCTAATGAAGACTTCTTCAGAACAGGTCTTTTTCAACACAGCCGATCGTGAACTATAAACATCTAGATTGCAGATGGTCAGTTTCTCTGAGCATGTGAAACAACCAAGGTGCTTGTGAGAGAACAATCCTAAGGACAAAATGATGAGGACAGAACATGCACAAAGTCTGGGGGAGAGAGGCTGAAGAAAGGGGGAGTGCACCACAGAGTTTATGTCGTACCTACATGGTGTCTAACAACTGTCCATAACTCCAAGTCTAGAGCATCCAATTCCCTCTTCTGGCCCCCATGGGCACTGTACATATGTGGTGCTTTTGCATCCATGTAGGTAAAACATTCATACACATAAAGTAAAACTAAATACAAGTTTTTGAGAATTTTATATTGTAAGCGTTGTATTTTTATTTCTGCCTCTCCCAGCCCCCTGCAACTCCTCCCATGTCTCCCTCCCCTCTCTATTTCTTGTCCTTTATAATTGTTCAAAAGAAAATTTAAGAAAATCAATTGGCTGGATAGGCTTGATCATATTTCTGAAACCCATTGTATCCCATTGATTGTCTTTATGTCACAGTCTTAATTATTGTAGTTTTATAATTAAAAAAAAATCCCCAAATTTTTCCTTCCCTCCTTTTTCATGTTTCTTTTTTTTTTTTTTTAAAAAAAAAAAGACAGGGTCTTGGTGCTGGAGAGGTGGTTCAGTGGTTAAGAACACTTCCTGTTCTTCCAAGAGTATCTGGATCAGTCTCCAGCACCTACATGACAGCTCACAATAATCTGTAATTCCAGTTCCAGATGATCCAGCTCTGTCTTCTGACCTCCAAGGGCACTGCATTCACATGATACACTTACATGCAGGCAAAACACTCATTCACATGAAATAAAAACAATAAACATTTTAGAAAAGGAGCCCAGGCTGACCTGGAATGCTCCAGTTGCCTCAGCTCCACTACTACTAGGATTACAGATGTGTACCACCAGGCCCAGCTTAAAACACAAACTATGTAAAAAAATTACAGTGAACAGAATCAAACCTTCTATTCACATGCCTGATAGGATTGCACAGGCCTTTAATCCCAGCAATTGAGAGGCAGAGGTAGGTGGATCTTTGTGACTTTTTTTTGAGGCCAACCTGGTCTACATAGTGAGACGCTGTCTCAAAGAAAAGAAAAAAAAACACTGTTGAGAAAAACTAAATCCTGTTGGTTCTCATTGGAGAATTATGAGAATACAGGTGTCTGTTCTTGTTGGATGGATCACGCAGAGAAGTATTTTGTCCCACCCCGTTGTTCTTCTTTCTCGGCATATTTGTGATGCATGACTTCTTGTTCTAGCCAGAAACAGGACACTCGAGAAGTCGTCTATCCCAGCAGCTGCTGTATGTTAGCCTTTTTGTTTTTCAAATCTATGTCTCAAGGGCAGAAACACATACCTTGTTTTCATGTATGTACCCACTGCATAACATTTTTCTCATTGCAAAGCCCAGAAGAAACTGTACAGTGCCACATCTTATATTGACACTTGGCTCACAGGATGTTACTTTCCATAGGCTATAAAGGCAAAACTCTGCAAAAATAATTCACAGTCAGGAAATGACAGTAAATTGTGATATACAGTTAGAGCATATTACAGCAATGTACATCTTTAGAAAACTTTCAGTGATGCAGGCATTAAGTTATGATATAAATTAAAATATGAAGACAGCTTAAAAGAAGAACACAATACATACATGATTTAGAGCATGATAAAGATGCCAATTCAGTTCAGTGGAGAAAGATAGCTTATGTCCATTGTTTTTTCTTTAAGACTGGGTCTCACTGTGTAGCCCTACCAGCTGGAACTCACTGTGACAAGGCTGGCCTCAGACTCACAGAGATCTGCCTGCCTCTACCTCCAGAGTACTGGGATTAAAGGTGTGCACCACCACGTCCAGCTGTCTACTGTTCTTATGGAGCCATGGTTACATTCCACTAACCCCCTGACTGAGGGGATGTGGAGCCCTGAGAGTAGAGTCAGCCTGCTGTCCTCTCTCTACAAAAAGGGCAGGCAGCTTTGGATGTAGGACACCGGGATAAGAGGAAGTGAGGGAGACTCTTTATCTTGTCTTAATTCTGATTTGTTGGATCTTACCTTTAAAATAGATATTTGTCAATCACAGTTATTTTTGCATTAAAATATTACCTTAAAATATAATTTCTCTTAATTATTTGGATTTCCCCTTTACTGCCTTAAATTTAGCACCTGGAAGGTATACTTCGATCTCCTTATTGTAGTCCTAGCCTTGCATATCTTGGGAGGAACCAGCCAAACAGCTTCTAGCATCAGAGAAGATTTGCAATACCTAGGCCAGTTGTCAGACACATAGGTTCTCAGTAAATATTTTATGAATATTTGTAAAATAATGGAGAAAGTTGAGACTTCTATTCATGTAACTCAGAAACATCACCAAAGAACTTAATTTCGTGTCTACAATTCTCTTTTGCTCTCTTTTTAAAAATTTTTTAAATATGTATTTATTTTATCGGGGGGAGGTCGGCTTATGCAGGCCACAGCATGCATGTGGCTATCAGAGGACAACCGGTAGGGCTCAGGTCTCTCCTATCATGTGGGTCCTGGGGAATGAACTCAGATTGTGGGGCTTAGGTGGCAAGTGCCTTTACCCTCTTAGCCATCTTGCTGGCCTCTCCCACTTTGTCCTTTTTGAGACAGAGTCACACTACATAGCCCATGCTGGCCTTGGATTTACAGTCCTCCTACCTCAGTCTCTCAGGTTCTGGAATTATAAGTGGGTATAGCTGGCTCTCTTTCTCTTTAAAACCCATTCCAGGGGCTGGAGAGATGACTCAGTGGTTAAGAGCACTGGCTGTTCTTACAGAGGACCCAGTTTCAAACCCAAGCACCCACATGGTAACTAACAACCGTCTATAACTCCAGTTCCAGGGGAATCTGCCATCCTCTTCTAACCTCCACAGGCATTGCACAACATGGGTGCACTTACCTACATGCAGGCAATACACTCATTCATATAAAAACAATAATAAAATAAACCCATTCCAGCACTGCTTTTCTCCTCCTGTTCTCTTGGATCTACCATTATTAAGGTCACCAATACCTACACATGTAAATGGCAGCAATGAATTCTTGGTCCCTACTTGAGCCCTATGTTGGTCCCTACGTTACACCTTTCCTCTCCCTGACATTCTCTGCTTGGCTTCAAGGACATTTCTCTTGGGTGTCTTGCCACTTCACTGAGCTGCTTCTGGGTCTCTTTTTTGGGTCTTCTTGACCTGTGTTCATTTGATTGAATTGATCATTTCTCTGCTCTTAACTGAAGGTTACACAACTTTCATGCATCATTAGCCATTCTTCAAGATAATGATTAGAAACTGTTGAGTACTGGTGAGATATCTCAGCGGGTAAAGGTGCTTGCTGCTGAAAAGCCAGATGGCTTAGTTTAATCCCTGAAGCCCACATTGTGGGAAAAGAGAACCAACTCCCACTCAGGCTGTTCTCTGCTTTCCACATGCACTCCCCACACAAATACACACAAAATAAATAAATATAAAAACTTGAGAAATAACCTTATTAGCAAATGAAAAAGAAAAGCCAAAATACTATTAGTAGTAAAAATTAATAAAAGTAATGATCTATATTTAACCAACATAGCTATGGCTAATTGACCTGGGAAAAGATCATCTTGTTGATGACACTGCATCCTAGTTAAATAAGTCCCCAATACACATTAGGCTTTGAGAAGATAATCCCAAAGAAAAAGTATATTAGTTGTAAGACAAATATAAGTGGTCTATTTATGATGGAGATGTAAACATAAAATGAAAGGACCTCAGGGACAGATCTGCACGGGCCAACCAGCCAATAGGCAAAATTATGGGGTATTTCTGTACTGAAATATTCTCTACAGTAAATTCATAGGTTTGTATTACTACTGGAAATGTTTAAAAATAATCTTACAAGGAAAGAGCCAGGCATAGCGGTGCACGCCACCTTCCAAGTGTAACCTCAACACTCAGAAGGTGAAGACAGGTTAACGGTTCAACGCTGTCTTAGCTACAAACTGCCAGGCTGGGCTACATGAGACCTTGTGTCAAAAAACAAACAAACACAAAAGGGCGGTTGAGAGGGCTGGGCCTGTAAAGGTGCCTGCTGACAAGCCTGATAACCTGTTTACCAACTCCCATAAGTTGTCCTCTGACTTCCACCCGCAAGCCGTGGCATGCCCAATACAATATTAAATATTAAGGATAAAGAGAGGAGCACAAACTATTACCAAACAGAACATATATACAGGTGTATGAAAACAACTCACTTTTAATTCAAGCACGCGGGAGGCAGAGGCAGGAGGATCTGTGTGAGTTTGAGGCCAGCTCCTGCTGTCAGCATTTATTTAGTGGAAAATGTTATTTTCGAGCATTCAACATACTGGCACTGATAAGGAAACAAAAGTGCACACCTGCACATTTGTCCTAGCTGCGGGCAAGGTGCCTGGGGCCACCGGAGCGCTAGCCGCCAGGGGACGCTGCGCACACGCCGCCGGCTGCGGACTCCCGCAGTGGCGCCTGCTCCGGGCGGCCTGGGACCGGCTCCTCTCGCTTCCCCCGCCCGCCACCAGGGGTCGCCGCAGGCTGCCCGGTGCGCTACTCGCCCCCCCGGGAGCGCCGGCTTGGCCGAGCATCCGAGGCAGGTCTGGTGGTAGCCATGGACCGCTTCGTGTGGACCAGCGGTCTCCTGGAGATCAATGAGACGCTGGTAATCCAGCAGCGCGGGGTGCGCGTCTACGATGGCGAGGAGAAGGTAGGGCGCAGGCCCTCCCCGCGGGCGCGCGTCGCAGCTGCGCCCACCCGGCCCCCGGCCTCGCCCTTGCCCTCGGCGCCCCGGCCTCGTGCCGCCGGTCCTGGAGCCGCGGGTCGCTGCCAGCGGCCCTAGGTGGGGCGTTCAGCGGTAGCAGCCCCGCCGGCGCCTGCGGTCCCTCGACCCTCAGGGACCCGGACACCCGACTCTTCCGGCTGGGTTCTGAGCGCTGACGGCAGCTCAGTTCCGCCAGGTTTGGAGCGTACTGCGGGACGCGGGCCACAGCCCTGCTACTCCTGGTTGATCAGATTTGCTCTGGGCCCCGCGACGTGGGATTGCTTGCCAGGATTTCCGAAGAGGCTGCGGGGTCTTACTCTTCCGAATGCCTTTGCCAAAGGCGTTTGGGGTTTTTGTTTGTTTTATAATTACTTTAGGAAGTGGGGTTGCGTTTAGTTTTATGACATGATGTAGTAAACCCTGCCTTTTTATGCCATAAATCTTAAGAGATGGGCTTGCAAATAAGAAATAACTGAATGGAAGTAAATCTTTTGTGCATATTGAAATTAATAAGCTATCCTGATCTGTATGAAATGTACGAACTGAAATGGGGGTGGGGTGGGGGGGTGTTGAACTTGCATTCCCACAAGCACTTTTCGTTTCCAGAAGTTCTCACTTGCGGTGTTCTTTGTTGCTGTGTTTTTGTTTGTTTGTATGTTTTTTTTTTTTTTTTTAAATGAAACTTCCCTTTGTACTTTGGTATACTTTCCTTAACCCGGAAAGTTATTTTGGGTCATTGCTTACAGCTGTTTAGAGGTACAAGTGACGTTGGACCCAGGTCCCCTGATTTCCCTAGGATATTTCCTGTGGTCTGTGCTACTGTTTTTCGGTCATGATCTTTTCCTTAGATAATCTGCTTGGATTTAGTTCATTTAATTAACTGCCCTAGCAATTTTATTAGCTTGGCTTAAAATTGGATTTTGTCCTTTTTAATTGGAGTCAGAAACTAAAATTATTTTTTCTTTCTTACTGAGTTTACATCTTTGGAACCATTTTATTTATTTAGTTTTTTGAGACAGGGTTTCATGTACTCCTATCTGTGTAGGCTAGAATGATTGTGAATTTCTGATGCTCCTGTTTCCTGCTCCCAAGAGCTGGGATTACAGGTGTGGGCCACTACATCCAACCTTTGGAACTACTTTAAATGAGAAACTTCACAAGTTCCCCTTTCTCTTTGGCCTTGGTTCTGCTGCTGCTGTAAAAGAAACTGGATGCTAACAATAGCTGATGGCTCCTCACAGACTCCTCCATTGCTGCTTCCCAAAGGAACATCTGAGAGCCATCTCCTTGTAAGGCACCACTCTTTTGTCTATGGGACACCGGTACACAACTAGGAACAGCTTTGCGTACCGTGTAGTTATGATATGTTCACAGCAATTAAAAATCACTGCTGTTAGTATCTGTCTGGGGAAAACCTTTGTTGAGACAGGAATTTCTCAGTTTCCTTTCAGAATTTTTGCTGTTTGTCATAGGTTTAAGGAAAAAGTGATGAGAAAAGCCCAGCTGGTGATTCTTTGATCTACTGTAGAACTCTTACAAAAGCTGGACCAGGCCATGGGGAGGATTCTAGGTATTTTAAAATTAATGTGGAACTCTGAGATGAGCCTCCTCAGCCCTGTTCCTGGGGCTGGACTTACTCTTACTTGCAGTGTCTGCTGCAGCTGTGGGTCTTAGAGTGACAGAGCCCGACTGGTTTCTAGGGGAAGTGCTGAGTCCTGCTCCCTCCATCTGCTGGAAGGCTGTACACCTCATTTGTGACTGAAGGCTGCTCATTAGCTTCCAGCTGGATCAAGTTAGTCCTCCATTCAGAATCCTTTTCTGGCTGAGACTGCAGCCCACTGTGTTTAGCCTTCCTAGCAGTACATTCTAGCACATTCCCCCAGCAAGAGTGTGCATGGCTGGCTTTTAGACCAGTCGGATGGTCTCAGAAAGCAGAAAGCATGCCTTTGTCCTTTTTTTGTCTTATGGCTCACTTTGGGTAAGAAACCCATTAAAAATTCAGTATAGGGACTGGAGAGATGGCTCAGCAGTTAAGAGCACTGTTTGCTCTTGCAGAGATCCAGGTTTGAATACCAGCATCCACATGGTGGCTAACAAACTCTATAACTCCAGTTCCAGGGAATTCGGCGCACTTTTCTCACCACCGAGGGGACTTGCATGCCACAGGTGCACTTACATACACGCAGGGATAACACTCATGCACATAAAATAAGAATAAATAAACAAATAAAAATTTAGTATAATTAAAATACCTATTAGAATTGCTTTTCTATGTGTGTATGTACATATGTATACACCTATAAATGATTTATATGGCCTCATATGTATGTATGTGTCTGTATATGTCTCTCGTATGATTATGAGGGATTTTTAGACTTCTTTCACACAAACACACATACGCACATATGTTCTTATTTATTCCTTTCAGTAGATAACTGTGTTCTTTTAGTGAATGAGAAGATAACAGATACAATGTCGTCAGGAGAGGTTCCAGCCTCTGCGTCCTTCACTGTGTGCAGCACTTCAAAGTGCAGCGCTTCAAAGTGCAGCAGTCCCTGTGCTGGATAGTTTATATGATGCTTATGTGGCTGATCCACCGAAAGAAAAGGAACCCCATAGTCGATGGTTGATAAAATTGTGGATGTTCTAAGGTCACACACATCTGGTAATTCCAAAGCAGGTGGAAGGGGCCCTGTGCTTTCCAAGACCTGGGTGCCTCCTGTGAATGAGCACTCTTGTGTTTCTACAGGGAGCAGGGGTCCATTATGAGTGGGTAAGGCGGTGTTTTCATAAGAGTGCAGACAGGTGTGAACGAAAAAGTTCCCAGAAAAATCCTGCAAGGCTGACCCTTGACATCTGTAGAGGGTTTGGAATGGTGCAAATCCAGAGCCTATGCACATTTTGTCTAAGGCCAGGTTTAGCCATAAACAACCACTCCTTGCCCACCTCTGTTTCTGACTTAACTTCCTTGTGACTAACAAAATGTATTAATAAAAAAAAAAAAAGAAAAGAAAAGAAAAGAAAAATCCCAGCAATCAAAAGGTTAAGAATGCCATCAGATAGCACCTGAGGCCTCTAGCTGAGATTTCTTTTGCTGCATCTGCCTGCTTACTGTTTCCACCAATGTAGTTGAAAAGTGTCTAGATTTATGACTCTTCTTTGTTCTGTTACTATAAAAACTTAAACAGTTACCATGTTGGAACATGGATTTGGAGTAACCTGAATCTGTGTTCCCTGGGCCATGATCACTCGTGTTTGGCTCCAGAATAAATGATCTTTTATCCCCTTTGAGATGAGAGTACTTATGCTTTTGCATCAACACAGACCATTGGTTTCAATCCACTGATGCTGTTATATAGCTGCAGCTAATTCAAACAACAGTATAAGAAGATCAGCAGTGTGTAAAGTGGTGATTTGGTAGCACATGCCAGGACATTTGCAAAATGTTCATTCTCTTTTAACTAACCATTTAATGTTTAGGTATTTGCCCTTAGGAAATAGAGATGCAAAAAAAAAAAAATATTACCTATAAGGATGATCATCTCAGTATTACACACACAGACACACACACACTCAGACATGAAAATCTGAAGTGATCTCAATGTCTACTATAGAGATTAAATGACGGCATACCCTGCTTAGCAAGGGGAACTGTTAGCTGTAGATGATTAAGTGAAAAAAGTTATAGAACTTTAATGTCACGGTTTCATTTTTAAAGATTATATGTACATATATGACGAACCTCCCCCTGCCTCCGGCTGATGTGATTATGAGTGATTTCATTTTCTCTTTTAGACTTGTAAAAAATAGGCTCAAAAATTTTCAACAAGCATGCATTTCCTGTATAATAAAGTTAAAAAAAATAGGGTGAGAGCTTATTCAGCAACTTCTTAAGTTTGACTTACATTTAAGTAACTCAAATTATTCTGGCTTTGAATAGCAAATGCAAACCAGCCTAAACTTGTCTGTCAGGTTTAGATCTTTATCCATTGGAACCCTTGAAGGGAACTATTGCACAATTACTTTACTAAAGCAGCAGTGGCTTACGTTGACACAGCAATGGAACATACTCTGGCTTGAGCTGTAAATGTATCTTTATGGTTGGATTTCAATACGATAAAATATAAAGGTTCTTAGCCAGAACTGTTATGTTCTAAGGTAGCTTTGAACTCTTTGAAGCTAATAAAACATTTTGTTCTGGGAAAGGGGAACTCTTATTCATTGGCCAAAAAAAAAAAAAAAAAATTAAAATATTATGAACTCTGTTATTTGGTTTTGCCCATAAAAGATTGACCAAAACACTTAAAGCTGAATTACACACCAGGTGTACCTGTGCTTTACTTCTTGTATAGAGGAAAACAGAACCTGTAAGGTCTTTTCTCTGGTGTGTTCAAGTGTTATGGTATAATATCTTTCACAGAGTGTATTTAAACTAGGTGGTTCAGTACGTCTCTAATTTATCGATGATGGCATTAGTCAGTACTAATATTACATTAGTAATATTTTCAGATCTTATTCTCAGAAAACAATGTTTAAAATGGGTGTCAAAAAGTGTTGGTTAGGGGGCTGGAGAGAGAGCTCAGTGGTTAAGAGCACTGACTGCTCTTGCAGAGGACCCGGGTTTGATTCCCAGCACCCACATGGTGGTTAACAACCATCTGTAACACTGGTTCCAGAGGATTTGACACCTTCTTCTGACCTCCAAGGGCATTGCACAACACGGGTACACTTACACACATGTAGGGAGTACACTCGTACACATAAAATAATAAAAAAATTTTTTTGAAGTGTTGGTTATTTGTTGTCCAGGGCTTTTTGATTTAACATAAAAAAGTACATATATTTCAGAGTTATATGAACTTACATATAGCTATATTTCCTACACTTTGAGGTTTGAGGTGTGCTTTTGTGTCACTCCTTCCTCCCTCCCTTCTTTCTTCCTTCCCTCCCTCCCTCCCTCCTTTCTTTCTTTCCTTTCCTTTCCTTTCCTTTCCTTTCCTTTCCTTTCCTTTCCTTTCCTTTTCTTTTCTTTTCTTTTCTTTCTTGGTTGTTTTTCAGACAGGGTCTCTCTGCAGCCTCAACTGACCTGGAACTTGTTATATAGAGCAGGCTGACCTTAATCTCACAGAGAGCCATCTGCCTTTGCCTCCTCCTGAGTGCTGGGAGTAAAGGTGTGTGCCACCACTCCTGGCTTGTTTTTTTTTTTTTTTTTTAATTAAAATAAATTAAGTACCAGTAAGCCAAGAAAAGAAAACTTGAAATAATCATAATCAGTAACCATACTACCCAGAAGTAATTACTTTGACATATTACATGTGATTATATATGTTTGATGTCATCATATGTGCAAACCTTTTTAATAAAATACGAGTATCTTGTAATATTGTTGACAGTATACATAATTTACAATTATTTCTATTTAAGATGATGCAAGACTGACAAGATGGCTCAGTGGGTAAAGGCACTTGTTGCCAGGCCTGAGTTCAATCCCCAGGTCGTACATGGTGTCAAGAACCAACTCTTAGAAGTTGTCATGACCTCTGTATGTACACCATGACTCTCACACATCTGCGCGCGCACACACACACACACACACACACACACACACACACACACATGAATGTGGAATATACTGTGGATATTCTTTTTGGTTTTTTTGTTTTTATTTTTTGTTTTTTTATTTTTTGTTTTTTGAGACAGGGTCTTCCTGTAATCTCAGCTGGCCTGGAACTTGCTATGTAGATCCACCTTCCTCTGCCTCCCAAGTGGTGGAATTAAAGGTGTGCTACCATGCCTGGCTGTGGCTACTCTTTTGAACTTGCTTTTTTTCACTTAAAAAAAAAATCAATCTAGAGAATATACCATATTTCATCATTCTAAGTATATTTTTTCACATTCTTGATATTTTGAAATTTAGAATGATTGTTATAGTCAGTGTCATCTATGTTGTACTGTAAGTATACAGTCTTCATATTTATTTCAGTTTATACCTGTAGTCCACTATGTGGATGTACCCTCCCTCTTGATGGACGTTTGAATGTTTTCCTACCTTTTGCTTTTATAAACAGCAATGGATAACCTCATTCTATGCCATTTTACATGTGTAAGGACAACTGTAAGAAAAATTCCTAGACATGCCAAGTATCCTTGGTAAAAGAATGCTTGTATTTGTCATTTTTGATAGATATCAACAAATTGCTCTCCATGAGACTGTGCTATCGGCAAAAGTATGAGAATGCCTATTTCTCCAATGTCAACAGCAAGGTGTGAACCAAGCATTTAGATGTCTGTTCTCTTAGTTTGTATTTAGCTTCTTATCAGTGAGGCTGAACAGCGTGTGTATCCAAGGCACCTGTAGTTCTTTTTCTGAACTTTGTTCATTTTTTCTATTTCTGATAGGAGCTGCAGTTATTTTACCTAGTCAGCCATTTATCTTTTGGTTTTGCTGTCCATAGTTTTTAGTTTTTGTCCTAAAGAATTTACGTGTGTGCAGCATCTTTTCCTCTGCTGTTAATGGGGTTCTTGCTTTTCTTAGGTCTTTTCTGTCTTGAGATTATTTTTAAAAATCTTGTCCTTTTTTTTTTTAATAATTTTTTTTCTCTTAAATACTCGATTCATCTAGAATTAGTTTTGGTGAAGTGTATTAAGTGTAAAATCAAACTTTCCCTCTTCTGTTGGGGAAAAAAACCCAGTTTTCTCAGTGCCAGTTACTGGATTTCCATCACTATCTGCTGTATTTATTTACAACTATTTCTGGATATCCTTATTTAAAGACTTAACTTTTTGGGGGGGGGGGTCTTTTTGAGACAGGGCCTCCCTGTAGCCCCAGCTGTCCTGGAACTCACTATGTAGACCAGGCTGGCATTGAACTCACAGAGATCTGCCTGCCTCTGCCTCCCGAGTGCTGGGATTAAAGGCATGCACCACCACTCCGGGCAAGACTTAACATTTTTTACAAGTGTTGTATATGAATAATCTCAATGTAAAACCATCTAATCAATTTTATAGAGTAAAAAGAGGGGCTGAAGAGGTAGCTCAGTGGTTAAGAGTGTGTTGTATTCTTCCAAAGGACCTAAGTTTGGTTTCCTAGCACCCATGTCAGGTGACTCATAACCTCCTGTAACTCCAGCTCCAGGGGCTCTGGCACCCTCTTCTGGTCTTCACAGGCACCTGCACTTACATGCACAGACACACACATACACACAATTAAAAATATTTATTTTATGTGTATGAGTGTATTGCCTGCAAGTATGTAAGTGCACCTGTGTCATGCAGTGTCCTTGGAAGTCAGAAAAGGGCGTTGGATCCCCTGGAACTTGAGTTAGAGACAGTTGTTAGCCTCCATGTGGGTGCTGGAAACCAAACCTGGGTCCTCTACAAGAGCAGTCAGTGCTTTTAACTGTGGAATCAACTCTCCAGCCCCACAAATCTCTTTTTTAAAAAAGGATCCTTTGCTTCTTTTCTGGCGTAATCATTGTTAACAGCTTACTGTATATTTACTTTAGACTTTTTTTTTTTTTTTTTTTCCTGAGACAGGATCTCACTATGTAGTCCTAGATGGCCTGGAGCTTGCTATATAGACCAAGCTAGCTTTGAACTCAGAGATGCCTGCTTCTGCCTCCTGCATGCTGGTACTAAAGGCATGTGCTATCATGCCTGGCCCATTTTAGACATTTTATTACTCACATATAGATTTATATATACATACACACACATATAAAACATGTTTTGTTGGAGGATTTCATTATATGTAATATGTGTAAATTCCTTTTTTCCCATCAAGTCTGTTTTAGCATTCCATGACAGCTTATACAGTTCTACCTCATCAAGCTTTTAGTCTTGGCATGTGTACCATACTATAGATGGATTTTATGTAACTACTCCCTGTTTGTTATACATCTAGGTCATTTCCAATTTTCCCATAATTCTATAATGGATGTATATGTAGCTATGAAGTGTATAGCATTGCTTCTTTTTAAATTTGTGATATACTTAGTTCTAAAATGCTTAACAATTAATTTCATATTTGTGGCTAATGGATAAGGAAGCCTGGCCAATATGGAGTGATACTAATAATATTTTATAATGATCTTATCGTTTTAGATAAAATTTGATGCCGGGACTCTTCTCCTTAGTACACACCGACTGATTTGGAGAGATCAGAAAAATCATGTAAGATACAGCTTTTAAACACCACTCCAGGTTTTACTTCATTAATTAATTGATTTTGTGTGTTGCATATGTGAATTGGAGCCCAGAGCATTGGCTATGCTGCATGGTTTACCACTGGACTGTACCTTAAAGGTTTTAAGTCAATCCTTTCTTTTCCATCCCTCCCTCCCTTCCTTACCTCCCTCTCTCCCTCTCTCCATCCCTTCATTCTTTCCTTCTTTCCTTCCTTTCTTTTTTGGTTCTGAAACAAGGTCTTACTCTATAGGTCAGGCTGGCCTTGAACTTACTATGTAATTCAAGCTGGCCTCTCTCAATCTGTGACTTAGCTTCTAGATTATTTTTGTTGTTCAGTTTTGGCTTTCCCTCTTATTTAGCAAAATTGTAAATGACTGCAGTCTATTTTCTTTTAAAGAATGTTAAAGTAGCTGGGTGTGGTGGTACACACCTTTAATTTCAGCACTTGGGAGGCAGAGGCAGGCGGATCTCTGAGTTTGAGGCCAGCCTGGTCTACATAGTGAGTTCCAGGCCAGCCAGCGGGGGCTACAGGGAGACCCTGCCTCAGAAAGACAAAGAAAACAACAACAACAACAACAACAACAACAAAAACGTTAAAGTAGTGTGTCCCGTGAGATCTATGGAGTGTAGAGAGAGAAGTTAGGGTGTCTTCCTCATTCAACTCTATAAAGGTCTTGAGTCATTGGGGAGTCACAGAAATTTATTTTTTTACTATTTTTTATTTTTGAGATAGGATCTCATGTTGATTGGTGAGCAGACATGAGTAAATGTTGCCACAAGTAAGCTTAGAGCAGTCCCCATCACCAGCACAGTGCAGTGGGACTGCTACAGAGTTCCAGGAAAGAAACCTCCTGAGTAGGCCTTACTCTGAAGCCCAAGTTCTATTCTTTTAATCGTTTTTAAATGTTTTGTTTATTGTTATTATTATTATTTTATTTTATTTTATATTTTGGTCTTTTTGAGACAGGGTCTCCCTGTAGCCCCAGCTGTCTTGGAACTCACTATGTAGACCAGGCTGGCCTTGAACTCACAGAGCTCCTCCTGCCTCTGCCTCCCGAGTGCTGGGATTAAAGGTGTGTGTCACCATGCCTGGCTTTTGTTTATAATTTTTATTTTATGTGTATGAGTATACTGTCTGCATGTATATAAGTGTACCTGTGTTCTATAATGCCCATGGAGGTTAGAAGAGGGTATTGAAGCCCCGGGAACTAGAGTTAGAAGCAGTTGTTAGCCCCCATGTGAGTGCTGAGAATCGAACCAGGTCCTCTGCAAGAGCAGTCAGCTCTCTTAACCGCTGAACCATCTCCCGCGCACCCAGTCTATTTTTTATTTTATATGTATATTTTGCTAACATGTATATAACTGTATGCATGCAGTGCCTGCCAGAGGCCAGAAGAGGGCATCAGATCCTTTAGTGAGCTGTCATGTGGGTGTTGGAAATTGAACCAGGTCCTCTGCAAGAGCAGCCAGTGCTTTTAACCACTGAGACGTCTTTCCAGCTCAAAGGCCAAATTCTTCACCAGAAGAGTTGAGGAAGATTAGGGTGTTGGGGGGTATGTGTGTGTCTTGGTGGCTTGAAGCATCACAGAGGAAAGCTCACAAAATGCTAACAAATGTTGAAGTGTATTTAATGTTTTAAGCTATTCTAGTTAATAAAAGAATTAAAAAATTGTATAATTATTATTATTTTGCAATCTCTAATGAAGTCACAGATCTAGGCAATGACTGTCAGTAGCTGCCAACACTATAGAGAGAGAGAGAAAGAGAGAGAGAGAGAGAATATGAGAGAGAATGAGAGAATGTACCTACTGATGGAAATGCATTTTGTGTGTGTGTGTGTGTGTGTGTGTGTGTGTATATGTGTGTGTGTGTGTGTATACTGTGTACTTATGGGTGGAAATACACCCCCTTTGAAATATTCTCATGAAAAACAAAGCCTTCCACTTATAATAATTTATGGGAATACATAGGATTACAATCATGTTACTACTGTGCAGTCAGGCAAACTATGTCCTGTAGGATGAACTACCAGCTTCTTCAAAAAGAAGTAGGAATTAAGATAAAAAAAATAAACCCAGGTACTTCAATTTAGTGGTAGAATACTTGCTTAGCATGTACAAGGCTCTGTGTTACCTTATTTCTTTTTTTTCTTTTTTCTTTTGGTCCTACTGTATAGTCCTGGTTGGTCTGGAACTCAGTATGTAGCCCAGGCTGGCCTCAGTCTCACAGAGATCTGCCTGCCTCAGCCTCCTGAGTGGTGGGATTAAGGTGTGCATCACCATACCTGGCTTATTCCAGAGAGCTTTTGCTTGAAAGTACATTTGCTCCATTAATTTCAGTTCTGTCAGTAAGATAAGCCATCTATGTTCTTATTTTCCTACTTATTCGCCCTCCTGTGAAATTTGATTGATTGATTTTTGGTACTGGTGGTATTCTGAGGGTCTGTAACATGCTAAGCATAGATTGACCTCTTAGCTATACTTCCAAGATCATGCAATTTTAATAGCAAGATGAACTGTAGGCTGTAGTGTATCCTCTGAAAGGGCACTGACCAATGCAATATTTGACCATTTGTTCCCCAAGAACCATTTTTGCACTCTTAGGGGATGACATTATCTCTTCTGAGACTGTATTCATTCAACTATTACGTGTATAATTCTTTTAAAAGGAGAAAGATGAGATGACCTTTAGTTAGTTGATAACTTAGTAGTAGTGTGACTCTTTGGCTATGGTATACAGAGACCAGTTAGACAGGGAAGACAGGAGAAGATTGAAGAGAAGATGGACATGACTGAGATGGGCATGACTGATGAACCTTTTCTCCAAGTCTCCAAGCATGGTGATTTGACTTGTCACACAAGGTAGAGGGAGAGAGCTGACTTCTGTAAGTCTGATCTCCACAAATGGGCTATGGTAGACATGTACCTGTGCACGTACACACACATATACAAAATAAATAAATTATAAAAGAAATAAAGTGAAACCCATTAATTTGTATAATTAATACATGCTTAATAATTAAGAGGCCAATTTTGGATCCTTAGACCTATTATATACTAGTCATATATGATGATTTAAATTAAAGTAATTGTTTTTTTATTATTTATTTAATTTTTGTTTTTTGACTTTTTTTTTAATGTGTATGAGTATTTTGCTTGCACATAAGTGCATCTATGCCTTGCAATGCCTGCAGAGGCCAGAAGAGGGCATTGGATCCCCTGGAACTGGAGTTACAGGTTGTTGTTAGCTGCCCTGTGGGTACAGGAATTGAACCTGGGTTCTCTGCAATAGCAGCCAGTGCTGTTAACCACTGAGCTGTCTCTCCAGCCCTATTTATTTATTTATTTATTTATTTATTTATTTATTTAAAGGTTTCACTTTGTTTCTCAGGGTGACTTTGAACGCCTAGGCTCAAGCAGTCCTCCTCATCCTCCCAAAGCTGAGATTATAGGCATGTGCCACTACATGCAGCCTTCTAAAATACTTTAAAAAAAAAACTATTTTTAGTAATAAAGGGAAGCTTCATCTGTATTTGTTAGTATTTTCTCTTAAAAATGTTTATTCGTAGGCTGGGTGTGGTGGCGCACACCTTTAATCCCAGCACTTGGGAGGCAGAGACAGGTGGATCTCTGTGAGTTCAAGGCCAGCCTAGTCTACATTAGTGAGTTCCAGGCCAGCTGGGGTTACAGGGAGACCCTGTCTCAAAAAGGCAGAGAAAAAAAAGTTTATTTGTGTTTGGGTATCTACATAAAGTGTGGAAAATTAGAAAGAAGAAAAATCACCCATTAATGCACTCCTTAACATTGCTTTATCTGTTTATTTTGTTGTTCTTTCATACAAGAAAATTATACCAGAAAGTTTTCATAGGGCTGAAGAGATGGCTTTGAGCTTCCAGAGGACCTGAGTTAAATTCCCAGCAATCATGTTGGGCAGCTCACAGCTACTACTAACTCCAAGTCCCGAGGGATCCAACACCTCTGGCTTCTGTGGGCACCTACACTCAGATGCATATAGCCACATGGAGACACACATATACACATAGTTAAGAATAAGAATAAATCTTTAAAAAAAAAGTTTTAAAAGTTTTAGAGATGGCTCAGCGGTTAAGAACACTGGTTGTTCTTGCAGAAGACCTGGGTTCAAATCCCAGCAGCTAAGGACTGTCCATAACTCCAGTCCCAGGGGATCCTACAGCCTCTTCTGTCCTCCTCAGGCATTGCACAACACAGGTGCACTTACCTACATGCAGACAATACACGCATACACATAAAATAAAAATAATAAAATATTTTTAAAAAACTTTTTAAAAAAAAGTTTTCATAAGTATTACATGTAGAAACTATATATACTATAAAAAGATAGTTACAACTGTTTTTATTTTACTTTCAAAGTTTTATCATTTATGCATGTGTCTTCGTGTGTGTGTGTGTGTGTGTGTGTGTGTGTGTGTGTGTGCGCGCGCGCGCGCGCACGCGCGTGCGCGCATGTCTGTCTGTGCATGCAGGTTTCCGAGGAGGCCCTTAAGAGGCCAGCTAATTCCCTGGAACTGGAGTTACAGATGGTTGTAAGCTGCCCAATGTGGGTGCTGGGAACTGAATTCCAGTCCTCTGTAAGAGCAGCAAGTGCTCTTAACTGCTGAGCCATCTCATCAGCCACATTTTACTTTATTTTTTGAGACAGGTTCTTAATGTTTAGCTCAGGCTAGCCATGAACCCCCTATCCTCCTGTCTCAATTCACATATGCTGACATTAGAGAGGTGCCCACCATGCTGGCTTGCTTTTAATTACTATTTATTTATTTAATTTATATTTTGTGTCTGTGTGTATGAGTATGGGTGCCTGAGGAGTCAGAGGACAACTTTGGAATCGGTTTTCTTCCACCATGTGAGTCCCAGAGATTGAACTCAGGTTGTCAGGCTCAGCGTGGCAGGTGCCTTTACCCATTGGCCCCTCCTGCCACCTCTAAACCTGATTTTAAAACTCTTAGGTTCTTCTGCGCACCAAAATGCCACTACGGAGTTGTTTTAACGTAAATTTTCCTTAATTTAAGGAGACTGGAAGTACAGCTATGGAAGCATGCTTGCTAAGTAGGTGCAAGTTCCTGGGTTGCTTTCCCAGCCCTGACAAAAAAAAGAAAATGTCTCTTTAAGGAATAAAGCAGCGTTGTTATTTTTCAGTACCTTAGGGGTGTATGGCATGCTAATGCCATTGGGCTGCTGGCATGTGTAATAGATCTCTTTCTCGATTTCCTCCTAGGAGTGCTGCATGGCCATTCCTCTGTCCCAGATTGTGTTTATTGAGGAACAGGCGGCTGGAATTGGGAAGAGGTAAGGTCTATGTATTAACAAAAGCTATTTTATTGCTCAGGAGGTCCCTTAAGAAGGTTATTTTTCTACCTTATGCTCATTCTTAAATGCCTGAAAAAAGTACTAAGGTTTGCTGTAATGTCTTTATGTGACCCTGCTCTCCTGTCTGTTTCCAAAGATGTTTGGCTTGCCTATGTGTGCCTGGTATTCACTGCAAACTCAGAAACGCTTCACCTGAGGGAAAGAACTGACTTTGTTTTTAGGCCGGGGGTATAATTCAGTGGTATAGTCGTTATTTAACATGCTTAAAACCCTGAGTTCAATCCCTAGTACGCCCCGCAACACACAAAGTTAGAGTATTTACCTACAAACTAATGTCTTATTTTTAAAAAATTGCTCCATTGGGAATAAATTCATTGATAAGTCATGTTAATGTTTTGTTTTTATTGCTTGTTTTCTGAGATAGGGTTTTACTACATAGCTGAGGCTGGTTTCAAACTCAGCAATCTTCCTGCCTCAACCCCACAAGTGCTGGGATTACAGGAGAGCACCACCACACACAGCTTAACTTAAAAAATTTATTTTTTGGAATTTGATATATGAGTATGGTAGTTGCATGATTTCCACCCTTCCCAGTTCCCCTCCAGCTTCTCCTATGCCCCCCCACTAACTTAAGTAGTTTTTAGAGTTTTTAGCCGCTTCTCCCATAATTACCATTACATTGATTTAAAGACATAACATTTTAAAGATTTACTTTGTGTGTGTGTGTGTGTGTGTGTGTGTATGTGTGTGCATGCGCATACGTGTGCCTGTGTGTGTGTGTGTGTGTGTGTGTGTGTGTGTGTGTATGTGTGTGCATGCGCATACATGTGTGAGTGTAGGTGCTTGTGAAGTCCAGAAAAGTGTGTTGGCCCCCTGGAACCAGAATTACAGGTAGTTGTGAGCTGCCCAATATTGGTGCTGGAAACCAAACTTGGGTCCTCTGCCATATTTATACACATCTTTAAACTCAAGTTGCTTTTTTCATAAGTTTAGAATTTAATGAAATGTGATAATTGAATGGGTCAATAAAAATAGCTGGAAAATTGACATGTCTTTTTTAAAAGTTATTTATTTGCTTAGGTTTTTTTGAGACAGCTGGTCTGGAACTCACTGTATAAACCAGGCTGGCTTTGATCTCACAAAGGCCTGCCTGCTTCTGCCACTGGAGTGCTGAGATAAAGGCCTGTACCATTATGCTCGATTTATTTATTTTTATTTTATGTGTATGTGTGTTTTGCTTGCATGTATGTAGGTGTACCATGTGTGTACAATGCCTGTGGAGGCCAGAAGAGGGTGTCAGATCTCCTGAAACTGAAGTTATAGATGTTAGCTCCCATGTGGATGCTAGGAATCAAACCTTAGTCCTTTGCAAGAACAGCCAGTGCTCGTAACTGATGAACCATCTCTCTAGCCCCTGACATGGCTTTTTTATGCTTACTTGAGAATTTCGAAAATTTATTTTGTACCATAGTGTCATAGCTTTTCATCGCTTTTTTTCATGTAACATTTTAGATTATGCAATATTTAGATCCTTCACTTGATGATTGATTCTGAACAAGCCTATGTTTCCGCTTACATAATTTACTACTCACCTGTGTTAAAGGTGTTCAGCACAAAGGAACAGATGAGGAGTCCTTGCAAGGCTGGCCCCAATTTACTAACCAGAGCATGTTATATTGAGGAGGCCCAAGTTAAGGTGTTTAAATTTATAGTGACATTTAGATAGCATATAGGCCCAAAGAAAAATGAAATTGTTCAACAGGCACATCATGTTATAAAGAAAAGGCTTTAGGGCTCAGGGTGGAGCTTAGTGCTGAAGTGCTAACAGACTAAACATCCAGGATATTTTGATTATGAGGTTTTGGTTTTCTATTGGGAAAAAGGAAGAAGACATGCTCATAAATCTGAGCCAATATGATAGTATTTTTAATAGCTGAGAAGATAAAGGTAGTCATAAAAATAATAGTAGCTTATGTTCCCAGGGTGGCAGTGTTTTGATTCTCGTTTTTGTTGCTGGGGCTCCTTTTAGGTCATGCTGCTGACTGAGTGGCATTTTTCCACTAATGACACTGTAGAATGTTAGTTTTGGATGGGATTTTATTAAAATAGCAGCTGACCAGCTTTGGAGATGGTGTCTCCACATGGTGAACACCAGCTTCCACATGTAGTTTTCAAATAAGTCTGGTGATGACTCTGTAGATGGAAAACCCTAGTCATAAACCACTCAAAGTTTTATCAACTTATTTTGAACTAATTTTATTTTCTAAAAATATTTTATTATTTATGTATTTTATGTGTATGAGTGTACTGCTTCCATGTATGTAAGTGTACCTGTGCTATGCAATACCCATGGAGGTCGGAGGAGGGCATCAGATTCCCCTAGAACTGGAGTTATGGTTATGGTCAGTGCTCATAACGGCTGAGCCATCTCTCCATCCCTTTGAATTCACTTTTAAAAACCATATTTTTGGGTGCTGGAGAGATGATGGCTCAGCAGTTAAAAGCACTAGCTGCTCTTGCAGAGGACCCAGGTTCAATTCCCAGTACCTATATGGTGGCTAACAATCACCTGTAACTCCAGTTCAAGGGGATCCAGTGGCCTCTTCTGACCTCTGTGGGCATGGTACCATGCAGGTGCACTTATATACATGTAGGCAATACAGTCATCCACATAAAATTAAAATAAAATCTTTTTTAAAAAAGTTATAAAAAATAGAATTAGTGATTTTTGTAAAAGACAGTCAATGTATTTGCTTTTTCTTTAGTGCCAAAATAGTGGTTCACCTGCACCCAGCTCCTTCTAATAAGGAACCTGGTCCCTTCCAGAGCAGTAAGAATTCCTATATCAAACTCTCCTTCAAAGAACATGGCCAGATTGAGGTAAGTTTCTGAGTGAATAAAACTGGAATAGAATAAAATTGGAATAGAAAAGTGTGCGTGTGTAGACATGATAGAGGGCAGTATTATTCATCATACCGGGTTTTACCACATTTTTACAATAAAATCTTTAATGTCTTAAGCCTTATCAGGAAGTGGAAAGCAGGAGAGTGTGGTTATAGGAATCAGAGGCTGTGATGCTAAGTGATGCCATTCTGCAACTGGTAAGGCTTATACTGTTTAGTTTGATTGAACGCAGAACGTAATGTCAGAAGTATTAAGCTGATGTTGCATCTGAAAGCTAACCAGCCTTAAATCAGGAGGTGGATCTGGATTAACTCCACACAAATCTAATTACTCAAGTAGGGTGCTCTGGTGTAGTAGTTTTTATGGTCTGATTAGTAAGTTGCTGTTCAGTTGCTGCATATACAGATGTGTTTTTGTCTCCTTCAATAGCACATTGTTTTCTGTACACCTCACTGGGTGTTTCTCACATAGTAGTCCCTAAACCAATAGAAGTGACTGGAAAGTTATTTTCATTGTAGTTGAAAAACATGATTTTTAGTGAGCCTAGCCACATTTTTCCCTTAATTTTGTTTTTGTTTTTTGAGACAGAGTATCATATAGCCCAGGGTGGCTTTGAATTCAATGTGTAGCTGAGGGTGGCCTTGAACTTCTGATCCTCCTGTCTCCTACATTCTGGGATTACAAGTGTGTGCCAGTAAGGACTTTTGCCTTCAGATTTTAGCTAGACAGATCATTCTCTGCTTCTTTAGTGGAAAATGGTTGTATGTATTTCTGTGTATGTTTCAGTATAGACTGATACTAGTCCACATACCCAGAATTGTTTAAAGTAAGGCTGTTTATTTCATTGTCACTCATCTCTGTTGAGAGTACTCCACTTTCTATAGAAAGTCAGTTCCTATGTGTGTGTTTTGATTCCTTTGTGCTTTCTGAAGTTCATCCAAGAAAACAACTTCCTGTGGTTTCCTTTGATGTCTCTGAGAATTCTAGACTTGTTGAAAATGGCTGAACGGAAGTTTATAAAGAAATGTTAAGAACTAATATGTGTGAGAATGCTGCCACCTGACTGACTCAATGTGCACACAACAGTTTTACAGGCGTTTATCTGAGGAAATGACACAGAGAAGATGGGAGAATATGCCAGTTTCCCAGTCATTGCAAACAAGTAAAGGACCCCAGGTATTTAAAAACCTTGTCAATGTAGTGTCTTCTTTTCTCTGATTTTCTTTTCTTTCTTTTCTTTTCTGTTTTGTTCTGTTCTGTTTTGTTTTGTTTTGTTTTGTTTGAGACAAGGTGACCTAGTGTTTCCATCTCTACTTACAAATCCAGTAAGAAGACTCTAATCATAAACTTATCAAGAACAAAATAGTAGTTTTCTGTTTAAAAAATGAATGTTCATAGCAATTAGTCTGAATCAGTGACTGACTATGGACAGATACTCAAATGTGAGAAAATAGCTTGATTAGTAGCTATCAAGTGCTAAAATTTTAGCTATAGTTTTTTATACATTTGAGACCCTATTAAATATCTAATACATGATAGATTGCCAAAAAATAAGGAATAGGAAGTTTAATTCATACCTAAAATACAGAGCAAAATATGCCATTGGTTATATATTTATTTTTCTTTAATATTTGAAGGTCATTATGTGTTGCTAGAAACAGACAATGTTTTGAAAGGAAGCTAGATGTAATTGTGTGCTCTTTTCTTTGTGGGCCCTTTCTCACCTTTGAAAAGCTTTGCTTCTTTCCCATGCTGTGTATTTTATGATCTACTTCTTTTCCTTTCATTTTTTTTTTTTTCAGCCAGGAAGAGTAAGAGCTGTAGGAATCGTAGGTATTGAAAGGAAACTTGAAGAAAAAAGAAAGGAAACCGACAAAAACATTTCTGAGGTAACCTTAAACAGCTTCCGGTCATCTATTTTTTTTTTTTAAACCCTTTTGTGTTTATTGTTTTGAATATAGCTCTAACTTTTTCTGTTCTGTAGTTTAGAATATATTTAGTGTGCCTAAAGAACAGTCTCTTGTTCCCTATATATCGTATTTTAACTAAACCATGTTTTAAAAGCTTTTTCTCCTGGGCGTGGTGGCGCACACCTTTAATCTGAGCACTCAGGAGGCAAGCAGCAGATCTGTGAGGCCAGCGTGGTCTACGTAGTGAGTTCTAGGCCAGCTGGGGCTACAGGGAGACCCTGTCTCAAAGAAACAAAAAGCTTTTTATAAAAATAAATAAGAAATAAACACAGTTGTTTCTTGTTAGAAAATATCATAGACTGTTATATATACATCTTTAAAGATGTAATTGATTGAAGAATACTCCTAATGAACTCCAGGTTTTTCTGTATAGTTATTTTGAAAGTTGGGTTAATTTAGTTGAGGGAAGAATGCTGTCACATGGCCGCTATCCCTAGTTAACTGCTGCATGTTCTATACTTAACTGCTTGGGGCTAGTCTGAGACGGGAAGAATGGCTCAGACCAGCCTGTCACTTCTTAGGGACAACCCTGAGCATGTGCATTACAGTGCTTCTAAAGCTTCATCACAAGGAACTTCAAATGAAGGAGCAAGAGCTAGTTAAAGCCAGTTGTGATTAAATTCTGTAATTCATTAATACATTTGAGCATATCACTTGTATGTTAGTCAACTTTGTGTTACTGTAACAATAACAGGTAATCAACTCATAAAGAGGAAAGGTTTGTTTTGCATCATACTTTTGACAGTTTCAGTCCATGATTTCTTGATCCCATTGTGTTATCCCAAAGCAAGTAGTTACTGAATACTTATCCTGGGTTACTATTTCAAAATGCAGGTTATTGTTGAATCGGAGGGTATTTGACCTATTATTGTCCCTGGTGTAGGCTGTACCAGTTGCAGAGCTGTGGTAAAGTTTCACATATTCTTTGGGCCTGTGTATTTCCTGAGCATCCTGAGCTGGATGCAGAGGCTGGTCAGGCCCAGGTTCAGTCCCTTTGGCAAGTCTGGAGGTGAAGCTGCCTATCATCAAGAGGCATGCTGCACTGCCCTTTGTCATATTTGTTAGTGTTCAGGATCCCCTGGTTCATTGGTGGTTGCCAGTGATGAGTCTCTGCTTGCTTCTCTTGCATTGGCTGGAACGCTTTTCAAGGAGCTCTTGCTGCTTCTCTTCATCTCCTACTTGGTTTTCCGCTGACATAGTTCATATAGGGAAGGCAGCACGGTGCTTTTTCTTTTATCCCCAGAACAATTCATTCATTCCTTACCATCTTCCAAAGTAGGTTTTCTTAGCATCACAAACTTTAATATATTGCTGTATTTTGGTTCATTGCAATTGCTTATTCTCTTTGAAGCTGACTGTCTATTTGGACAGTAGAAGCCCTTGAAGTTGGTGGCTAAATCTTTTGACATAGTCTGGAATGGGAGAAGTTCCAGGACCATCTTGCGTATTTCCTACCTGAGATCTGGAATCAAACTATATTTAACTGAAAAGCTCCTTTTTTTTTTTTTTTTTTTTTAAAGTGGAAAACACTATTCTAAAACCACAGTCTGTACCCATTGGTCTTGTGTTGATCTGTGCTCTCAGGACTCTTCAGAGGGAAGGGCTAGAGTGTTGTTATGTGGCATCCTCTTGGGCTCTTGGCATATGCTTTCAATTCCAGTCAGGATAACACTTCAGATAATTACTGAAGCTGCTGAAAGGAAATTTTTGTGTATGTTTCCATGTTTTTGTGTTTAAGGGGTATGCTGTATCTATCCCATGAGAACCTCCTCTCTGCACACATTCCCTCACCCTGCAGCTCTGATGTAGTCTCAGTCTCAGGTGGTGTTGCTGCTGATCTCCCCAACAATGAGTCTCTTTCATTCTCCAGTAAGAGCTGTCCTTGTGCCTGGCAGGTCTCTCTCTCTCTCTCTCTCTCTCTCTCTCTCTCTCTCTCTCTCTCTCTCTCTCTCTCTCCTCTCCCTTTCCTCACTCTCCTTTCTTTGTGGTGAGACAGGGTCTTATTTTGTAGCCCAGCCTGGACTTGAGCTCATGGCAATCTTGCCTCGACTTCCCAAGCACTAGGATGTTTACATTCCACACACTGAAAGTCAGTTTTGTTGGACTTAAAATTCTTGATTTGGCCTAGGACTGTGGCTCAATGGTAAGGTGGTTGACTCTGCGTTTAACTTCTCTCACCAGAAAAACAGATATTAATTCAACTGGGTTTTGTTTAGATCTCCTTTCTTGGATTGCCTTCAGTCTGCTGCTTCAACTGTGTGTGTCATGAAGTGTTACCAAAGACTGGTGGAAATCTAATGGTTTCTTCTTTAAAAGGCACCGGCTGATTTTCCCAAGTAGATGAAAGTAGTTTTCATTTTCTCTGAAGCACAGTGATTTTACTAGAATGCGCCCATGTGCTAGTATTCCAGATTCTTAGTCACAGATTCACAAAGTAATTTTTCAATATGTAGTTTCAGAAGTGTTTTTAGTTTCAAGGAAATTTTCTATATTATAAATTTCAAGGAGTGCCTTGATTCCCCCCTCCCCAGGTGACTGTTAGTGGCATAGCGCACTGCCTCTCTTCACAGCTTCTGACTTCCTTTCAAATGCTACTTCTTTCTTTCTCTTTCTTTCTTTCTTTCTTTCTTTCTTTCTTTCTTTCTTTCTTTCTTTCTTTCTTTCTTTCTTTCTTTCATTTCTTTTTTAAGTTTTCCTCTTTTCCTGCTTTCTCTTAAATTATTATGTTTGTTGACTCTTGTGTGCTGTCTAGTGTACCTTTTTTTTTTTTTTGTCTTTTTGAGATAGGCTCGCCCTGTAGCCCCAGCTGTCCTTGAACTCACAGAAATCCACCTGCTTTCTCAGTGCTAGGATTAAAGGTGTGCGCCACCACACCCAGCCTTTTTTTTTCAGTTCTATTACCTGCTCCTCATTCTCCCTACCCCTCTGCCTCCTTCCATCCCTCTTCCTCTCCCTCCCTGTTTTTGACCCCCCCTCCCAACTTTATTTTCTTCTGTTTCTGAGGGAGGGTCATACTGTGTATCCCTGGCTGACCTGGAACTTGCCCAAGCTAGCCTCAAATCCAGGCTCCCTCTACCTCAACCTCACAGTGCTGTAATCACAGGAGTGCACTGCCACATCAAGCTTTTAGCTTATTTTAAAATAAAATCTTCTGGGGCTGGAGAGATTGCTCAGTGGTTAAGAGCACTAACCTCTTAACCTCTTAGAGGTTCGAATCCCAGCACCACATGGTGGCTAACAATGTCTATAACTCCAGTTCCAGGGGATCCAATGCCCTCTTCTGACCTCTAAGGGGTCTTTACACACATACAGGCAATACACTCATATACATATACATAAAATAAAAATAAATTAACAAAATATTTTAAAATAAAAGCTTCCATTTTGAACTGCCACAGACACATCTCTCTAGCCTGCTTTCCTTGGTACAGTGCTGTTCTGATCCATTTTCCTTATACCGTGTGTGGTATTTGACCTTGATCTTCTGTTGCGGCTCATTTTCATGTGAAGTATTTTCCTGAACATTTAGAGGAAGGCCTAGTTGGAGGTAGCTTTCTTACTCTACACAGCCTACTCCCTCCTCAGCCATTTCCATAGAGTGTAGAAATAAAATAGTGGTGACTTGATTTGCTGTTTTTTTCCCTCCTCTTCTATTCCCTGGTTGTACCTGGACTTTTTCCTTTCTCAGTATCGTTCCTGCCTTGCTCACTTCTGATTCCTTTCGTAGTAGTTTCTCCCTAGCTTAGGCTCCTGTCTTGGAAGGGAAGCCTGGCAGGCCAGTTTGAAGGATTCATAGGTTCTTCATGCCCTGCAGTTGGGACTGGGGCCTCTTGGACCCACCCATTGTTTAAAAATTTCATTTAATTTTGTGTTACACTCAAAAGTTTTTCTTAGCTTACGAAATGAGTTATTCTAGTTCAGTCCAGTTTTCACGGATTCGCACCGCTCAGAACTCTCCAGGTGCGTCATGTTTTGTCATACAGATTGCTGATTTATTTAGCAAATAGTCTTGTTTTCCACCTGTGGGTCCAGCATTGAAGGCTCCAAATACTGTGGTGGTACACTAGACAGACAGGCTTCATTGGCAGTGTGAGAAATGCCCTTTGAGGAGAAAATCCAGGCTATGGAAGGACCATCGTATGGTCCTTCATGTAGATTGGGGTCAAGGAAGGCTTGCTAACAGCAGGAGAACGGAATTGAAGGCCTGGGAGATGAGTAGGTGTTAGCAATGACCAACAGGGACAAGAAGGATCCAGGGAGGGGAAAGGATACGCAAAGGCATAGAGTCAAGAGTATTAAAACAGGAAATTGAAGAAAATGTGAATAGTTACTGAAATGGATACATAAAGTAGTGATGGCGAGTCAGTAAGAAACAGTGCTGGAGAGCAGCACAGGTGTCTGTGGCTTAAAAACAGGCACCATTTTTCTCAAAACTGCAGTGGAAATTTGACTGTAGGTGTTCTGCAAACTGGCAGACCAAATAATAAATTGGACATGTACATCTATCTGGTCTTAATTTTTATTGCAGATACCTTTTCTACACATTTTTTTTGACAGTTGGCTAATTCTAATTTTTAGAATAATAAAAATAAGTGAGGACGGTTTTGTTTGTTCTTTATAATTACATAAAATATTTTATAGCCAAATTCTTTTAAGGCACTATGATATTTATATTTGTTTTTTCTTGATTATAAGCCATAAAGAATGTATTCTATATAAACTCAGTATTTCATTTTTTTCTATGAAAACTTAATACAATAAAGTAATTTGTCATATAAAATTTGTCATACTAGTTTTATTTACACAAGTAAAAGAAATGTATTATTTCATGTAGTCAGTGTAAGAAGTCCAGTCTGCACAATGTGTTTGTATTTTATTTTTGCAACTAGGTTGGTATGCAATTTGCCCCATATAAATGCTAGAATTGACTTAGTGTCAGAGGTGGTGCCCAGAGCTTCCCATAAAGGGCTTCCTGCATCTGTGGCTCTTGCTGATAAGAATCCAGTGTCTAAGCCTTTTGTTTATCTGAGGAAATTCCTGTTAGGTGTGTGCACATTCCCTTTTGTTTTCAGTATTATCTTAGTGAGCTGGCTAAGAATCTTACATGACATGCTGTTCTTTGAGCAAAACGCTTTTGCAGGTGGGGGATACTTTCCTACAGATGGGCATAGCTGATCAGAGCCACGATTATGTATGTCCAACTACTATATGGAGTGAGTTTTCACTTAATGACAAGGTGTTTCATTTGATTTTCAAAAATGACATCTGTGAATATCAGTTAGACAAGAAGTTCTACAGTGGAAGTATATTTTCAACAACCCGAAATAATTTATTAGGAACATATTTGACTAAGTTTGAAGAAGTCTTTAATGTGGACATTTGCTGTAGTGGTTTTAGATATGTTTGGGTGGCATTTGAATACTTTTTGTGCACTAGCCACCATGTTCAAAGCTACAAGTTCAATCCTTTAACATTCAGAGACCAAGGCTCAGTCAGTTAAATTATTCATTCATTACAACCAAATGACTGTGCCCAAAAAGCTATTAATTTTTGCAGCTGGGCATTACCAATTTCAACCAGGAAAGATTTTCACAAAGTCTTTGCTTTTTGATTGCCTATCAGGAAAAACCAGAGATTTTTTTCCTTTGGTATTTGATCTCCTATCAGGAAAAAAGAGTGACTTTTTCTTTTGTTTTTCATTTCCTGTCAGGAAAAACTAGTAAGTTTTTTTTTTTTTTTTTCAGTGCTAGGGATGGAACAACTTAGGACCTCATAAATGCTAGGAAAGTGCTCTACCATTCACCCCAAACCCAGAATTTCTTATTTGTGTCAAGTAACAGTAAATAAGATTCTATGACTTGTTATTTATGTTATCTTTTTGTTTAATTAATACTATTTTCTCTTGGAAAATTTGAAGTTTGGTTGCAGTTTCTTTGAGAAAGTTTATGATTTTTTAGTCAAAGTGGATTTTTTACATGAGGTAGATGTGTTTCTTACAGCATAATTTATTAATAAATTGATATATGTAAGAAAATGTTATAAGTCTGTCATTACTTCAAAACATTTTGATTTTTTCAAGATGTCAACACAAACTCTCATTTCTCATTTCAGGCCTTTGAAGACCTTAGCAAGCTCATGATCAAGGTACATGTCATTTCTGCCTCTCACATGCAGCCATGATGATCTTGAAAACAGATTTTGTTAGAAGAAGATTCTTTGGGGATGTTATTCCTCTTTAGCCTTTTCTTTTGACAGGCTAAGGAAATGGTGGAGCTATCAAAATCAATTGCTAATAAAATTAAAGAGAAGCAAGGAGACATCACAGAAGATGAGGTAAAGATGCTTTTTCTATTGTTAAAGGCATTAGAAGCCAGGTTATAGTACACCAGTAATGCAGTGATGTTCTTCCTTCTTCTTCCCCTTTCCCTCTTACCCTCTCTTTTCTCCCTTTGGATTGAAACCAGGGCCATCCTACTACTAAGCTACACTTGTACCCCTCGCAACCCGTTTTTTTTCTTTCTTTTTTTTTTTTTTAACATTTTATTATTTTTATTTTATATGTATGAGTGTACTGCCTGCATGTATAAGCATACCCATGTCTTGCAGTGCCCACGGAGGTCAGGAGAAGGCATCGAATTCCCCTGGAACTGGAGTTACAGATAGTTGTTAGCTGCCATGTGGGTGTTGGGACTTGAACTTGGGTCCTTTGCAAGAGCAGCCAGTGCTCTTAACTGCCAAGGCATTCCTCCAGCCCCCAATTTGCTTTTTTTTTAAAAAAAAATTTTATTATATTTATTTATTTATTATTGAGAGTTGAATTGGTTCTCTCCTTCAACTATGTGGGCCCCAGGCACTGAACTCAGTGTTTAGGCTTGGTGGCACTGAGCCATCCCATAGGCCCTGCTTTCTTGTATTATTTATTGTTTGTTGTTTGTTTTGTTTATTTTTGGGGGGGTTTTTTTGGTTTGTTTATTTTTGAGACAAGGTCTCCTAGTAGCCCCAGCTGGCCTGGAACTTGCTATGTAGACCAAGCTGGTCTCTATTTTACAGAGATCTGCCTGCCTCTGCCTCTGGAGAGCTGGGATTAAGGGCATGTGCCACCACACCTTGCTAGGCCCTGCTTTCTTAATGTAATGTTTATATTTTATTTTTTTGTGGTCTTTTTGAGACAAAGTTTCACCATATAATACTGGCTGGCCTGAAACTTGCAATGTGGACCAGGCTTGCCTTGATCTCACAGAGATTCACCTGCCTCTGCCTCCAGAGTGCTGGGATTAAAGGCATACCACTATGCCCAGCATGTTTTTATTTCCTGTATGTGAAAATGCTAAGGAGAACGTAGACGTAAACTTTTTGCTAGTTTTAGTAGGAATCGATATTATTTCAGTGCCTTTTCTTACAGTATAGAAAATAACACTATTGAAATGATAAAAGAATAATAGTTTATATATGCCCCTCTTTGATGTCTGCCTCATTAAATTTGTCTATAATCTGGTCATAACCATTTGTCCTAAGTTTTCAGTTTTAGCATTTGGTTAGTATTAAACATAGCGTAATTATTTTCTAACTTTTCCCTCATATAAAACTTAAGAAATGAACAGAATATGAGAGATCAAGATAGAAAAAAGGAAAATAATTTGATTTCTTGCAAGAAACCACTAAGTCATCTACTGCCTTGTAGCTCACAGCATAGAAACACAGTAGAAGACATGGGTATGTAGAGAAGTAACTGAGCCAAACCGAAAAGGGTTTCAAATGTTGGAGGAGAGGCTTAACTCTACAGTCTACTGATGCATTTCTCCCCTCTCTTATTGTAGACCATCAGGTTTAAGTCCTACTTGCTGAGCATGGGAATAGCCAACCCAGTTACCAGGGAAACATATGGCTCAGGCACACAGTACCACATGCAGCTAGCCAAACAATTGGCTGGAATATTGCAGGCACCTTTAGAGGTAAGGTAAAACCAAACCTCAGTGTATTTTCAAATCTGTGTTAAATTATTTCCACATCATCAGAAATCTAGGTAATCTAACTCCTTTCATGATGTGGTCATGTTATTTTTTTCTTTCAGGAATATTAGAACTTAGTATACTTAGTTTTTGTTTATAATCTTCAAAATTGCTTTCAGTTCCCATTTCAGATGTTTGTACTTTTTAGCTTTTAAAAAAAATTTTATTATTTTTATTTTATGTGTATGTGTGTATTCCCTGCATGTAGGTAAGTGCACCCGTGTCGTGCAATGCCCTTGGAGGTTAGAAGAGGCTGCTGGATCTCCTGGGACTGGAGTTATGAACAGTTGTTAGCTGCCATGTGGGTGCTGGGATTCGAACCTGGGTCTTCTGCAAGAACAACTAGTGTTCTTAACCGCTGAGCCATCTCTCAGCCCAGATATTTATAATTTTCTAAATTTGTTTGATGGGAAGTTTTTCTTTTAAAAAACTCTTTCTCTATATAAATAAATTGTTTCTATCTAGGTTGTGGGGGTTTTTTGGTCTTTTGGAACTTGCTATGTAGTGCAGGCTGGCCTCAAACTCAGAGATCCACCTGCGCCTGCCTCTGCCTCCCAAGGGCTGGGATTAAAGGTGCATGCCACTACACTGGGCTTCCTATCTAGGTTTTTGTTTTGTTTTTTGTTTTTTGTTTTTTTTTTGGTCTTTTTGAGACAGGGTCTCCCTGTAGCCCCAGCTGTCCTGGAACTCACTATGTAGACCAGGCTGGCCTTAAATTCACAGAGACCCGCCTGCCTCTGCCTCCTGAGTGCTGGGATTAAAGGCGTGCGCCACCACTCATGGCCCTATCTAGGTTTTTAAAGACAGGATCTTGCTTGTAACCCAGGCTGGTCAGAAACTTACCAGATCTCCTGCCCCTGCCTCCCTAAGGGCTGGGATTTTCTGCATGTACCACCATAACTGGCTATATCTAGTCTTTTAGTGTATTGTTAATAATTTCATAAAACAGATTCATCAAGTATGACAGTATTCAGTTGATCAAAACTTTGCTAAAGCACTTTTAAGGAATATTTCAAACATATGTCAAAATAACATAACAAATCCTTATGTGCCCATCACCTGCGTGTATTTATAAATTAGCCTCCACTCAAAGTTATTTTAAAGCAAATTTCAGATACCACATGACTTTATCTGTAAGTATGCTAATACCTATAATGATAAAAAACTCCTTTAAACACAGCTACAATCCCATTTCACACTTAAAACAGTGTTTTAATATCTTTACTATCTAATGTGTTGACATTCACATTTTCTCTTCTTTTGAAATCTCAATACATTACAGCTGGTTTACTTCTCTCTTAAATTTGGGATTTTTTTGTAGCTGTTCTTTTGTTTCAGTTTGGGTTTTGGGTTTTGGTGATGAAGGTCAAACGTAGGGCCTTATACATGCTTGGCAAGTATTCTACCACTAAACCACAGCCTAGCCCCTGGGTTTATTTTTTATTTTAATTCCTACTTCTTTTTGAAGAAACTAGCAGTTTGTACTACAGGACAGAGTTTGACTATGATATTAACATGCTTGTAATCCTATGTATTCCTGTAAACTGTTGTAAATGGAAGGCTTTTTTATGAAAAGAATATTTCATAGGAGATAGTGTGCATTTCCATCAGCAGATATATATTAACATACTATCGGGGAGAGGGAGAGAGAGAAAGAGAGAGAGAGAGAGAGAGAGAGAGAGAGAGATTGATTGTTGGCAGCCATTGACAGCAACTACCTAAATCTGTTACTTCATTACCATTGACAGCAATTGCCTAAATCTTTTACTTCATTAGAGATCACAAAATGATAATATTTAATTGTATACTTTCTTCATTATTAACTGGAGTAACTTAAAACATTAAATATACTTCAACTTCTGTTAGCATTGGATGAGCCTTTCTCTGTGAGGCTTTAAGGCCCAGGACACCCCTCCCCCAAACACTGATAGTCTACCCCTCAACTCTTCTACTGATGACTCTGGCCTTCAGGGTAAAGCCTACTCAGGGAGGTTTACTTTCTCCAGAACTTTGTAGTAGCCCCACTGCACTGTGCTGGTGGTGTGGGCAGCCTAAGGCTTGTCTGTGGCAACATTTACTTGTGTCTACTAACTGACTAATGTCAGTCCACAGTTTATCAAGGCTGAGAGTTTGGCAGACACTCTGGTTCCTCTTAAGTGGTAATGCCTCATGCCAACCTTCCCGCAGTAAGCAGGGTGATACTTGTTGAAACTGATCCATGGTGGTGCATGCTGTTGGCATCACCCTGGCCTCTTGGTGCTCCTGCTGCTGCCAATGCACTGCGGCTGTTGGCTATGTGGTCTCTTAAGTTTGCAGGTCTTTCTTAGCCTGAATGACCTGGCTGCTGCTCGAGAAACGAAATATACCTTTTGAAACATGATATAGTGCTCCTCTTTTCATTTAAGTACTGAAGTCCAGGTATGGAATTTGCAGTGTCTTACGGTTTCTGAATAGTTTCTCCTGTGTTTAAATGCAACTTTTAAAAAAATGTTTTAATTTTTACTTTTGAGACAGGGTCTCACTCTGTAACCCTGTCTGGCCTGGAATTCACTATGTAGACCAGATTAACCTTGAACTCACAGAGACCCACCTAGCTCTGCCTCTGGAGTGCTGGGATTAAGGCCTGTGCCACTATGCGGCTTAAAAAACAATATTTTGGGAAGAACTTCCCAAGAAATTCTCTGATTTGTGATTTCAGTAAGATTATGATTTCTGCTAAGAAATATATAACTTGTTTTTAATCTCCTATTTTGACAGGAACGAGGGGGAATAATGTCCCTCACAGAGGTGTACTGTTTAGTAAACCGAGCTCGAGGAATGGAAGTAAGCATAGAGTATTTAGATAATCTTTAAAAATTTTTTCATTTATTTATATTTTATGTGTATGAGTATTTTGCCTGTATGTATATAAGCGTACCATGTTGTGCAGTGCCCAAGGAGACCAGAAGAGGGCATTGGGTCCCCTGGAACTGGAATTACAGATGGTTGTCAGCTTCCATGTGGGTGTTGGGAACTGAACCTGGGTCTTCTGCAAGAGTAACCAGTGCCCTTAGCCACCGAGCCAGCTTTCAGCCCTAATTGAAGAATCTTTTAGTTAAATATAGACCTTTGTGATAAAATGCAAATTCCTCTTTAGTGAACAGTTTGAGGAAGGTTGTAAATATCAAAGCTATTTTCAAAAGCAGTGTGCAGGGAAAAGAAGATTGATGTGGGTAGAAGTAGATTCTGTTCGTGGTTGTCCTAGTGAGTCACTGAGTGTCCTTGAGTGGTGTTCTTCAACGGCCTAGAACTCAGTTTTGCTACCTTTAAGGTTTGGACTGAGTGGTGCCTTTCAGCTCTAAGTTCTGGGTGTTGTAGTGAATGGAAGCCTTTTCTCTGTAGTATTTAACTCTTTTGCATGAACTCAGTTGGACTCAGAGTCCTTTGTAGATAAGGGGCAAGCCACCTTACTTTGGTTGTGTATCGGCAGGACCTGTTCTCTGTCACTCCTGGTGTCTGAGGCTTTCCTAGCGCTCATTGTGCCTCAGCAGTCCAATGCAGACTTGTGTCAGTAGTCACTTCCATGTGAATGACTCACATACAAGTCTTACTAACCCTCACTCAAAGTCCCATGAGTGCAGTCTCTGTTCTGTTTTATTTGAACAGTCATCTTAACTGCCTTCAGTGAGTACTTACTGTCTACCAGGCACACAGTACCTGTTACCTTACTTACCCTCTGTCACTCAGTGGGTGTCTGCTTTTATTATTCCCACCTTGGGGATAGCTTGAGGATGAGGAAATTAAAATGTAGAGTAGATAATTTGATTGAAGTCACACCCAGTGACAGTGGTTTGACCAGTGTTTGTACTCAGGCCTGGCTGCCTCCGGAACCATCTCATATGACTCAAAGATGTGCTGATTTTTTTTTTTTAAATATATTATTTATTTATTTACTTTGAGGAAATTAAAATGTAGAGTAGATAATTTGATTGAAGTCACACCCAGTGACAGTGGTTTGACCAGTGTTTGTACTCAGGCCTGGCTGCCTCCGGAACCATCTCATATGACTCAAAGCTGTGCTGATTTTTTTTTTTTAAATATATTATTTATTTATTTACTTATTTTTTAAAAATTTATTATTTTTATTTTATGTGTATGTGTGTATTGCCTGTGTGTAGGTAAGTGCACCCATGTCGTGCAATGCCTGCGGCAGGCAGAAGAGGTTGTCTGATTCCCCTGGAACTGGAGTTACGGACAGTTGTTAGCTGCCATGTGGGTGCTGGGATTTGAACCTGGGTCTTCTGCAAGAACACTGTTCTTAACCACTGAGCCATCTCTCCAGCCCCTTGATCTATTTCTTTATGAACAAATTTTGTATGCTCATAACTGTTATATCCAT